CGAAGACGTCGAAACGTTAGCCGAAAATAAATATATTTATCAACCTCGTGTAAGCTTATCAAGAAAGAATACATATTGGTGCCAGACTTGTCTGGATGGATAGCAGCGCTAGCTCGATACATTGGAAAGCCACTGTGAGTCATTTTAAAGGTTGGATATGCATTCAATGACCTCCAAACGATGCTTAATGAAGTCGAATGAACGGAGCATCCCTCAGGGGTTGATCAACGCCGAGAGCTTCATCCTTTTATACCAAATATATGGTACAAATCTTTCCCAAAAGAACCATACGATTCCATTTTGCCAATCTTTCCTTGCAGCTTTTACTGCTTTTAAATAATCTGGCACGCAAGGAACAGACAACAAGCAGCAAAATAACCACCTTTTTCAATGAAGGTTTCAGTACTGTATACAGAAAACTGTATGATCTGTCCTAACGGGAGAGACGAGGATTGCATGAGTTTAGGTATAATATACTTGATCTTATGTAATGCATGCGGCGAGGAATATATCGGGGAAACGGGTAGACCACTTTGTGTCCGCATAAAAGAACATCTAGATGGAAAAGTTAAAATCCGTTTAAACACACCCCTAGGTACGCATAGGACACAAAAGCACAACGGCGATGATTTTGAAGTGAATGTGCAGATCCTAGCGCAGGATTCAAGAACATCAACGCACAAAACTCTTGTAGCGTTTTGGAGAAATTTCAAAAATCCAAAGATGAACCGGGAGGACGAATGCCTCACTATCACGCGTGACCTGGCGTCCTATTTCAAAATGTTATTTCAACCTCGGGGTGTGTCTTGCTGGCGACCCCACGTGAAGTACGTGTGGGCCAGTCCCGCACGTAACATCACGGTGAGTAGCCTTTCTGATCAATATGGTGTCAATTTAAAAGTTCGATCCTCGTTAATACATTAGCCTTTTTCACCGATCAGTTAAAGTATTCTTATATAAAATACGTCCAGGCTCTAAGGAAGGCAAAATCGCCGAAACGTCAGCCGTCGACCAACAACACTAACAACAACGAAGACCTATACCAACCTCGCATCAGCTAATTAGAGAACATAATTCGGTACATAATTAGAGAACGTAGAAATAACAATAAATCAATAGTAAGAAAGTTCTTCATCTAGGTTAAACACCATCTGAACGAAGGCCCTCTGCAAGAGCGTGAGTGCTCTGTCCCATGTGCCACATGTTGGCCAGCGCCAGCATGACGACCTCCGACCGATGGATGAGCGCAACATGTGTCGCGTCCGTGGGTGGTCATGGGTGCGAGTTTGTGGGGCACACACGTGCGCTAACGGCTGGGTCATCGCCAGCGGCTGTTACAGCGGAGTTAGGTCGTGCCTGGGCACAAATCCGCAATGATAACCCGACTCAAGTACATAACAAGGACTATGGCGAGGATCAACGGTAGCCAAGTACGAGGGACCAACGAAAAAGGTAACGGCGTATGAAAACCACGACCAGTTGACCAACGAAAAAGGTAACGGCGTATGAAAACCACGACCAGTTTTCTGTAAATATATTCTTTCGCAAAGTAGCGACGAAACTCCTTAACAATTAAGATTGTATGGTACTTTCTTAAGGCCGTACAACGTAGTACATTTGCATCGGAAAAGAAGAACTCAGAGGAAACACGTACCGATAAAAATAAACATCCTCATTGTCTCTATAAACTCCATAATGAAAAAAGAAGCATGAAAGCTCCTATTAATAGTTGGTGAGCTAGCAATATCAACAAAAAGTATTTTAAGTAAAAGTGTAAAAATGCAAAAACAGCATTTGCAAACGGTAATAGGAGTAACTCCCACGACCGACTTTCTATTAACCTCGGCATTGATCAATTAATTCTTCGTATTTTTGTTGAGCAAACGCGAGGTGTTATTGTTCTTTATTCACGAATAAGCTGACGTTTCGGCGGATTTCGCCTTCCTCAGAGCCTGGAAAGGTCAAGTTGACAGCAATCTACTCGGCCAGACGCCTCCATAACCAAACAAAGAAACTCTAAACCAAGATTTCAATCACGTTGAACACAGCTTTGCACACTCACCGCTTTCTATGAGGTTTCCACAAAGTATGTCACGTAGAGACCAACCGCATAGAAATCACATGGAAGTATAATGTGGCCTTGCCAGCTATTCTGATGGTTTTTAACCCTAATATTTAACCAGTTGTTGAAACACATTCCAGCCCATCTTACGAATACCCAGATGTTTCTGGATCGTCTACGTACTGCGCAGCCCAACAGCGCGTGCGTGGTGGAATCCTTCGACGTTACCGCCCTTTATACAAACGTGTCGAATGACTCCGCAATGCAAGCCATATTCGAACTCCTTACACTTTTCGAAGGAGAAATAAACATGTATGGCTTCAGGATAGAGCACCTGATGGCACTCTTAAAAGAATGCTTGAGCTGCTCAATCTTCAGATGGTCTGGAAAGTACTACGCTCAAATAAGAGGGTTGGCAATGGGACAACGACTGGCTCCAAGCCTTGCCATTGCATTTATATCTAAGGTGGAAGCACCGGTGACTGATCTCGGGCCGCTACTCTACTGTAGGTATGTAGACGACTGCTTTGTCCTTTGCTCAACACAAGAGGAAATGGACAAATGCTTCGAATTGTTAAACGCACAGTCAGAGTATATCAAGTTCACCCGAGAAAAGCCGAAGGAAAAATGGCTTCCATTTTTGAACGTACAAATTCACCTATCAGAAAATGGCTACATTACAAAGTGGTACCGAAAGCCAAGTAGTAAAAATATCTTGGTTCATTACCTCTCCTCTCACCCCTCTCACACGAAAAGGGCGCTTATAAGAAACATGCTTCGAACAGCAACCAACGTGTGCACGGGAAGAGAGCAGAGAGAGGAGTCCCGGAACTTGGCACAGCAAATAGCCATTTCTAATGGCTACGAAACTGTAGCTCAGAATAGGTGTAGAGGAAATCGTAGGCCTCCAAACGACAACTCTAGCGAAAGAAGGGTCCTGTTTATCCTACCCTTCATCTCAAATGATATAAGTACAGCTATAAAACGCTGCTTAAGAAGGACGGGTTAGAGAATTCGGTGAGCATAGTTGAAATACCACCGAGTAATCTTAAGCGCCAGCTAGTTCGTAACCGCCTATATGACCGTCTATGTGCAACTCAAAATTGCATAATTTGCCCCAGTGGTAGAGACGGTGATTGCATGAGCTCGGGTATAGTTTATCTGATCTCCTGTAAGAGGTGCGGTAACGAATACATTGGCGAAACGGGTAGACCCCTCTGTGTCCGCATAAAAGAACACCTAGCCGGCAAATATAGACCAAATACCCCGCAAGGCACGCATAGGACCCAGAGACATAACGGGGACGACTTCGAAGTATGTGTCACGATCCTTGCACGCGAATCAAGAACACAGGCGCGGAAAACTCTCGAGGCACTCTGGATTAATTCCAGAAATCCGAAAATGAACTGCAGGGAAGAATGCCTCATTATCACGCGTGGTATAAGGGCAGTATATAAAACTGCTTTTCTGATGTGAGGGGCACATTATACTTCCACGTGATTTCTGTGCGGTTGGTCTCTACGTGACATACTTAGTGGAAACCTCATAGGAAGCGGTGAGTGTGCAAAGCTGTGTTCAAAGTGATTGAAATCTTGGTTTAGAGTTTCTTTGTTTGGTTATGGAGGCGTCTGGCCAAGTAGATTGCTGTCAACTTGACCTTTCCAGGCTCTGAGGAAGGCGATATCCTCCGAAACGTCAGCTTATTCGTGAATAAAGAATAATAACACCTCGCGTTTGCTCAACAAAAATACGAAGGTAATAGGAGTGTCATGGTACGTAACCCGTTTAAAACTCATTGTAGAAGTAGTCTTCTGTATGTTAAAAACCCCAACAAAAAACTAGTAGAGAATAAACTTGTTATTAGAAATTAACACTATTATCAAACCGAACAGATAACGAATGATACAGTAATTTATGGCGGCATACGAAGAGATCCATCAAGGCGTATAACTTCGCCGTTCAAATAACGGTTCTGGATGATATGTTGTACCAGAGCACCGAATTCTTCAGGATTTCCCATACGAGATGGATTCGGCACAAGCTGAGAGAGGAAGGTTCGCACCTGAAGTATATTATTCATAGTAAGAATTGATCGACGATGACCCCGAAGGCTTACACTTAAATCGTAAAAAGGTGGACTTGTTACGTCATTTCGTCACCCAAATACTTTTTAGATAACGATGAAAGTCTTACTCGTAAGCTAATCTAACCGAAAAGCGGCATGGAAGAAAGTTCACACTTGGATAATAACTGAGACAATAAGAGTGAAAATAGTCTAAACGTCGCGCTGTAGCGAATCGAAGAGGGAACGGCTTTTTCTTCATGTAAATATTACGGTAAAACAAATGACCCACACTGGATTGAGGAACTACCTAGTGAAGGAATGTACTGGGAACAAAATGTTTATTTGGAGGTAGACCTTAAATGACACACGCCAACTTTTCTACTCTTTTTCACAGTTTCGTACTTAAATATTGAGAGAGTCAATGCCGAAGGTACCTTTTCTGGAAGGCTGCTCAGTAACGGTGTATCGAACAAACCAGGTGCAATCGCCATGAAACGAATTCCGTCGTCAGCAAAATCTCTTGCCAGTGGTAGTGTCATACCAACGATAGCTCCTTTTGACGCCGAGTAAGCCGACTAACGAGGAAATTTGTCTACTCTCTGCTTGTAAAAGGGCAAAATATTCTTTATAGACTAGTACTAAAGACACAAACCTGCCCAGTTTGGCCGTCGTATGCAGCCACCGAGGCAGTGCTTATGACTACACCACGTTGACCACTTTCATCTTTCTCGTTCTCTCCCATTAATGCAACTCCATGACGTATGACATTGAATGTTCCCATAACGTTCACCTAAACATGATAATAGACATTTGAGATGTAGTAAATGGTAAAGGTCAATTTCTAACGTCTTTCCCACTGATGAATTTCATAAAAGACAGCAGTACCTAATGAAGATTGAAGGGTGTCGAAGATATGGCACTCATGCTACAAATCCAAGAACGTGGACCACAAGTGTGGTAGATGGTAGGCAAGTGGTGGTTAACCAACTAAGCAAAGCAACTTCTGAAATATATTGCTGGCTTCACGTACGTCAATGGTTCTTTGTATCTTCTCTGAATCGCCCATTTTCTTTTTGCTGACGCTGTAGAGTTTAAAGGCCATCGCGATACCAGCACAGTTAACAACAGCATGACAACAACCAAATTTCTCTCTCACTTTATCAAATGCCGTTTTTACCTCTGCATCGCTGACTACCTGAAAAGATTTAAAGAATAAGATTTATAAGATTTAAAATCAAGATATAAGGAAACAGAATCTGCCGTTACATTGACATATTTTCGAAAAAAAAAAACCAGTTCAATCAATTTGCGTCAACGCTTAACAATTACGCACAATTTTATGATTTTTCTTTTAATGAAGCCTTTTATCATACTGGTAAATTCAACTGGCAATTAAGTCTTTTAAATTCAAACTCTAAACGGATTTAAAATGAAAATAACACTTTAAAGAGACTGACTTAATCTATTTAATTTACTTAACCATTCACTACCGTGTGCGACCTTCAGAAAATTCCACTTGGGAGCGAGCATGTCTTTCTCTCTCGTATCCCATACATACTAGGTACTTTTGCAGTCATAACTGTACTTTTTCGTGATTTTAGCAACACAGTAATATAATTGATAATTCTACTGCTTTCATTCCCCACCCCCCCCCAACGGTTTACCGTCTCATCGTGGCTGGTAGGTGTTCCTAGGGGTCGGGCTGCAACGTACAGCGGGGTGATTCATCTCCACGCCAGGGTCTCCCAAGCTGACGAGTCCGGCGTTTCCATTAGGGAATCCAGCTAAGAGTAAACCAATGCCAGGACCCACCAGCGTTCAGGTATCAAACTAGTCGTATGGTGGCAAATTTCTCTCTGGTCCACAACTGCTGCGACTGCCTGTGGTGGTGACGACCTGGGGAAGAATTTGGCCAGGTTGACCTCGGGAGTCCAGGGAACCACAATGGCTAAATCTCCGAAAAAGTAGAAATCATGCTGGGACCCGCACAACCAGTGAAGATGGGTTATCCAAGCATTCAAGTAAGTATTGCTTTCATTGTGACCTGGTGTGGCTTACAATAAGGTCTCCAATTTTGGTTTCCTTTATTGTTATCGCGTTGGAACGATGCAATTTCTTCTCCATACTTTTCTGTTGCTTGTAATAAACCCTAGTGCCCACCATCTTGTACGATTCCTTCTTTTTTCTTTACAAAACACGACATAACGTCACATGCTGTACTGATCTCAGCACTCCTCGCATCCATATTCCAAGTCTTTAAAGTTCTGCACGTGAGTTTGGCTGCTAGTTGAAGATTTTCATATTTGCTATGAATGTCATTAAATACTGTTCGAGTCTTTCTGAAGTCATGAGAACGCCGTGCTAGGGCGTTCCCAAATGTAATGGAGGAAATAAACCGATTCTAGAGAAGTTTGATACCAACTTGCCGACTCTGGGCTAGATGAGCTCGCAGTGGAGTGAAATCAATACTTCACTCGTGATGCACGGCATCACTACCAATATGCTATGTGGCCCCTGATGTAGGAGGCTTAAAAGTTGGAAGAAGTTCTATATGTTTAAATCACACAAGAGGATTGCAGGGAGTAGGGCATCACCTTTAACAGATTCCTTGTTGACACTCAATAAAAAGTTGAGGCTTTAGGCTACGTGAGATCTAATCTGCACTCTACGATAGGTCTGATGAGGAATCTGAGATTAATAATTAGTATGAGGATCAGGAGAGTGAGTAAGGGTGGTCAAACAGCGTAATGCACCACTCCTTAATATTCGATAATGGATATCCTGAAGTGGATTAATTTCTGCTTGAATGTAACAACATATTTACACGATTGCAATCTTGGGAATTCATTGTGATTTAGATCAACAGGTACCGAAAAGAGGAGGAACACGGGTAGACAATTTTTAAAGAGAGCAAGAGATTTAATGAATTCTGTTTCCAGATTGAAATGACTGGACTGCACGGCTATTGTACGAATTTGGTAAAACATTACTACTGCTGAAAAACATGTTAAAGTTCACCAATAATGTCAATTCAAGGAAAGTCTGCGCTTAGATTCTTTTAATAACAGCCACGAAAGATGTTAATTGTGAAGACTTTTGGATTATGGTGTTTATAAAACCAGTGAAAGTTTGGGCATACGAAATTAACCTATAATGTTACTTACCGGAAAGGACAATAGCGCGTTCGTTCTCGCAAACACCTGCGGTCCAGAGTTTTGCAAATATCTCAGCATCATCTTAGTTGTATTTCACATGATACCATTACCGTTGAAAAATTATAGTAGGCAGTAAAAAAAGGTTCAGATTTCGACTTCAGCCTCAGCTTAATTAGGTTCGTCGCCAAGTTGAGCTCTCAAAATCAGTCTCGTTGACGGGTGATTGCTGAAGGCACCGATGAATAGAACTAGCTGAGAGACAGGCGAAACGAAGAACCCGCATGGTGTGGTGGTGAACGCGTTACACCCCGGAAAGGCCAATAGTGCGCTCGTTCCCCGCCGCAGACACGTACGGTCCGGAGTTTTGCAAATATTTCAATATCATTTTAGCTAACCTATGATGGTTTACGACCTCACCGTAGAAGTGAGATGTTTCTGAGTGTTTAATGTATTACAGTGAGTTCACAGCTGGACAAGGTCATTTGCACCGAAAATGCGTTCGAGATTTCCATTCGGAAATGTAGCTAAGAGTATAAGTACAACTGGTATTGCACCCTTCCTGACAGGAACTTAGTTACTAGGCGACAGTACAGTGCAAAATAACTGAGCTCTTCCACAAAATATTGGTTAGGACCTGTATGACCAGTCAGCTCGTTGGTTGTCGAGTAACTCGAGCGGGGGCCAGAAAACCTTTCTCTTTGCCACACGCATAGTGGCCCAGTGGGCTCTGCTCGGTCTAGCGATTCGTTGAGCACAATATCTTTCTTCTAGAATTTTCGTGAAGAATTCTGTTCATTAAGTCGGTGATCTTTCTGCTGTAAATCTCCAGACGAATCCAGTCATTAATGGGTCTTGTCCATGTTGTTCATACGCATTGGAGTCCTCCCCACCTTATCTTCGACAATTTGGCATACAGAACGGCGTCTTCGATTTTCTCTTCCCTCACCTGCGTGACACCAGATACTCCTAACATCGTCCTTTCGATTCCACGTTCAATAACACTGAGTGACCTTCCATCATGCTTGTGCAGCGACCAGGCTTCTGCCGCATATCGTTCCATTGAGTATAAATGGGGCACATGTAACCAATCCACTCCTCGTGAACATCACTTTTGTGAGATGAGATTTAGTCAAACACCAATTTTTCCACATGCTTTATCAAAGTAGGCAAGCATTCGCTCCACTTGGCTAGTGTTTAGTGTTATAAGAACGACATCATCAGAAAAGTGAAGATAGTATAATTGCTGAGCATCGATTTTCACCCTTTTATTACCCCATTCCAATGTGCGCATGGCATTGTAGAGGGTGGCGGTAAATAATTTTAACGAGATAGTATCGCCTTGCCAAACCCCTCTTTTGCCGTCGACGTTAATATCGTCGTAGAATGGTGATATCTTGGTTTTGAAATTTTATACAGCTCGCGAAGAATCTTTATAGACTATAGGGACGTAGTCTTCATAGAAGGGTCGTCCTTCCTGGCTGTTTAGAACTTCCAAGACATCTTAAATGAGTCAAACGCTTTCCTTAAATCGACAAGAAAATGAGACAGAGAGGTCTCCTGTACTCTTGCGATAGTTCAATGAGTTTTGCTATTGTGTGGATGTGGCTCTTGTACTGAATCCTTTCAGAAACCCTGTTTGCTCACATAGCTGTTCTTCGTCCAGTGTTCTATCAGTCCTCTTTAGAATGACTTTAACGAACAATTTGTAGGCGACACACTGAACAATAACACTGTCCCGTTGGTCTTCCATTGTGTAGCAACTTTGGATTCTGACAGGTAACGTGTGAAGAGGTGGTCCAGTGTGTACGAGGAATGGCGGAAGTTTTTTCAGGTTTTTAGATCTTACTCTCTGCGGAATTGGTGTTGCTTGATTCTTCACTAACGAAATAGCATGTCGGATTTCGAGATAGAGAACCGGTGGGACAACATATCCATCCTGCTTTATTTCGTGTGATGGCAGAAGGACGTTGTTATTGAAGAGATCCGAGTAGTATAGTAGTAATCGTGAGTGATTCTGCCCACTTTCATTACCTCAGTTTCGTAATTTGAGAAGTTTCGATGGGCTTTGCGGATGATTTCCGCAGCACTGGATCTCCGATCATAACTGCTGTTCTTCTCTCCTTAAGATTCTCTTTAATGGCCTGTTTGCATTGTTTCACAAGTTCGGAAGTGAGTTGGCGGTTGCCCATAGCTCTTATTATTCCACGCTGGCGTATCAGCTCGAGTGCTTCTGGAGACAGACGTCTGTTGGTGACTTTTGAACTCTCAGCTTTCATAGTGCTAACGTTAAAGATGTTGAATGAGCCGATCGTATTCTTCGTCGATGTTATCGTCAACGGCATCTTCCCAACAGCCAACTAATAAATTGAACAAGTCGCAGTTTGTGGTGGTTCTGGGATTTCAGTTTTGGAATTTAGTGGCTTTTTCTCCTTTCCGCGAGAAAGAATCTTTCACGAAGGAGCCGTTATCTGGCCCGTGTAAAATTTTGGAACAACGGCGACATCAGTTAGGCGAAAGTTCCAATTCACCATGACGTGCTGAATTGAAACGTCACTTTCACTTGTCAGACGTCAAACGATTACTTCGTCATACTCTCCAGTGGAAGACTCCTACGTCCAGCGCTTAAAGTGGGATTTCTGGAATTTCGAGTTACCATGAATCGTTTTGATTATCATGATAAACTCATAGAGCCGCCCATCCTGCTCGTTCCATTCCATCAAGATTATAAAACCGATAATGATTCACATCTCATCAATGGTGAGCGACCGATTCGGGTTGTTAGTTGTTTGAATGAACCAACATTCATGACCAAACACGTGCTGACGAGAACCCCGACCCCGCTAACTTCTCTACTGTCGGATGTTCGAAGGAACAGTTCTTCTCTGGTGTCACAAGCGGCGTTGAATGGGTGGCATCGTCTCGTCTCGGCCAGTCCGATGACATCGCACTCTGTCTTTCGTGTCTGAATGATCAAGTCTTTCATCAAAGACTCAGATGTCAATGAGCATGCATTGTATGTCCACATCGTCACCTTAGTCCTTTGCGAATTACTAGGCCTATAATGGCCCTGAGATCTTAGCAAGCTCTCCGTGCTCGTCCTACACAACGGCACCGTATCGCGCTTGGTCAGCTCTAAACGTGGGGGCTGGGTATACCGACGGATATCCTGCCAGTCTCTCCCTGAGTATACGGGAAGGCTTATTTGTTGGAAGCGACTCCTAACCGCATTCCATAAACTTCCCTGTTACTTGATTTCAGGCTTTTGATCTAACTGACTCGTAGAATACAACCCGCACAAACGAGGAGACACCCACGCACGTGTGCATAAATGTCTTCGTAAGCACAGAAGGTACATTCTAAATCCGAAAAGTAAATAGAAGCAGTCCATCCCTTGGATCCACCTGCGTTTAAAGGAAGCAAATGTCGCTTTTGGTCCACGATTAACCATCTGGGGACATGCTACGTTGCCTTGCGGTTAACCGCTATGAAATCCCTCTTAGGTCGTAGTCTAGAAAATGAAGTTCATTTTTAACTATTAAGTGAATATACATAACCTGGCATAATTTCTTGAGAATTCAGCACACTAGATCCAATATAAATTTGTTGCAAAGTGCAAACAAATATCGTCTGGTGTTTTGTTAACGTGTTGTTACAAAATCAGTTTAAATGGATCCATTGACTTAATTTCAAAAAATATAGCATCAAAATTTGGCAAGATAAAAGAGGTGGGAAGAATGAGACAAAGACGGGTGAAGTCAACATGCATCAGAGCCGATATAAAATGATTCAAACTCACAAACGACCAATCTCTCAGTTCACAGCCTACTTCGTTATTTGAAATAAAAGAATTACGATGTACATACCTTTGATAGGAAGATTCTTATTAAATCATTAAAATGATATTCTACCAATTAAACGTAAAGATTGTATCTCGTCGAACGAAAATATTTTGCTGTTTTCTAATGGATCGTTAACCTTTGTGACTACGGGCTTGCATTAGAAGTTTTAGGAACTAAAAGTCTGTTTATAATCTCCAAAAGTTAACTATTGGATGCTACGGCCTTAATTACTCAGGTACTTCAGTTATTGAAAAGTACTTAGAAGCTGAGTGAAATTGAGTACAGTGCCATACGTATCAAAGATTAAAGACATAACTAACATTCGTAGGTGAGAACAGAACGTTCTCTCCAAGTTCTTTTGCAACATCCGCACCCTTTGAAGACGGCAAGTCTAGGATGGCAACGTTTGCCCCACTCTTAACTAGTGTTTCCACTGTGCCACGACCGAGACCTGAGGCACCACCCGTTACCACAGCCACCAATCCCTGAAGAAATCCAGTAGTACTGGAAGCGATATTCTAGCTAACTGCTACAAACCTTTGTTGAACGAAGAATTGATGACATCACCGATATGACCTGCTAATGTTCTTTTATGTTGTTTTAACAATACACTTCTGACAAATTCTATACAACAAAAAATATTTTGAAAAACAATACAAAGAATAACATGGGACACGGGATATCTAGTTGTTTGCGCCTGAGTATTTTATATTATCTAAAATATCAAACGCAACCTGAACAAAAATATTCACACAGTCTCATAGAATACCAAAAAACAGGACGTTTCAATGTAATAAAACTAGGACGAGAGCTAAACAAATCACAGCCATACTTTACTACACTCGGTATCAGGTAATACTCGACTTCGCCGTCCAAATACAACAGCTTTCTTTAGTGGGATGTTATGAAACAAAATGTGTTCTCACTTTCTTATTTACTACCGATAGTTTTTATGGTAGAGTATGATGCGAAACATACCCACAATGGTGCTAAGACATTCACAAAACTCCAAACCGCATGTGTCTGCGGTGGGGATATTATCCCTTCTGAGGAGATTGTGGGTATGTGTTCTATCAGCAAAACTATCTGTTCATAAACAACCTAATAAGTAGTAGATCGCTCACATACCCTAAAATATTTTGTAAGAATCCAAATTAAAAATGAGCACGAACGGCAACAAATTGTTTTTGCGGAACCATTATAAACACCTCAAATAATTCCCGCTGAAGGATAGGAACTTGTAAAGGTTTGTTCATCAACGCAAGTAACACTATCGACGAACCTCCTGTGAAGCCCAGGATAATTTGGAGTCTATACCTGTCTCCCGGGTTTATATAGTTTTATGTACATAAGCAGACCTCTATCTCGTGATATACTTATTTAGTTACACTTTGGCCACTGGGTCGGCAGTTCTCACTAAAATCTCAATCCAGTGAAAAGTGTACTCCCGCACCTTTATTCAGAGTAAATTGCATGGGTACAATTATACTTCGAACCAATGCTCAGAAAGTTAGAAAAAACTTTTAGGTTAGTCGGGGAGATAGCGCAGTGATTCAGTTCATTACGACGCAAGGTTCAGGTGGGACTGCCTGCTCAACACTCTCCTACAATCCATGTGGGAACGTCCTAACCCCGCTATCTTCAGGATTGAAAGGCAAATCGACTCAACCAACATTCTACGACATTCGTGAAGATGAAATCCTCAAGCAGCACCCGAAACACACGAAGTATCCGAAGACCTTTGTGGAAGACGAAAGCGAGGAAAATGAAACGAATGCAATAAGTGCCGAGATCTGCATAGTAGATGTGGTAACGGATTGTGCAAGAAAATAATTAAGGGAATTCGACCCATGCAAAAAAAATTAAGAGGATTAGAATATCTGGTTCTATATAACGTATAAACCAAGAATTAAGGAATCACCTAATAATTGGGAGCTAGTAGCGATGTGGCAGAAATGCCGATCGTAGCGCACAAGACGCCAGTTCGACTCCATCCAAATCAACAAAACCTCCCCTCTATTTTTACTATTTCAGCGCTACCAATAATCAACAAGCAATCGGAATGATAACTTCGGGAATGACTTTAGCTCCAGCCTAACTGGGTGCAATGAAGATTTGTGCCCATCAGATCATTCCCGCTGACGGATGACCACTGATAGCACTGATACAGTAAAACAATGGCCGACAAAAAGGCAAAGTAAAGGCCTCGGTTGGTGTGTTGGACAACACGTGAGTCCCGGAAAGGGTAATGGTGAGCTCGAAACTCACTGAAGCTGAGTTTCATTCATATCTCAGCATCCTTGTGGTTGTATCTAACATCGTACATTGCCATGAAAAAAAAATTAGACAGTAAAAGGGCATATGGACTTAATAATGCAGTCCTAACCTTTTTATTTACTGCCTATTTCTTTAATGGCAGGGTATGTTGCGAAATATAACTCGTATAATGCTGAGATATTTGCAAAACTCCGGACCGCAGGAGTCTGCAGTGGGAAACGAACGCGTTATTATCTTTTCCGGGGAGTAGCGCGTTCACCACCACACCATACGGGTCCTTCGTTTCGCCTGTCTCTCAGCTAGTTCTATCGATCTTTCGCCAGCAGCAATCCGCTACTCCTCGAAAAGAACAATAGCGCGTTCGTTCCCCACCGCAGACACCTGCGGTCCGGAGTTTTGCAAATATCTCAGCATTATACCGGTTAATAATGCAGTGCTTTCTTGATCAGCACACAAGAGGTTGTTATTACAATATTTGGTTACATTAGGGTTTCGAAGGTTTCATCTTCATCACAGCCTCAAAAGGTTCAACTGACACACAACATACTCGGCCGTAGACCTTAATAACTCAAGAAGGAGAACTCAATATATAAACAGGATTTATTTTCAAGACTAGCTGAAAAAAAAGAATTTGAAACAAATGAAATCTATGCATTGCGTTTTTTCTGCTTAGGTTATGAAAATGTTGTTCTAACTAAACCAATTTGACCTCACCAAGGTCTGAAGAAGGTGAAACACCAGAAACGTTAATCACCGTGAATAAATACTGTAATTGCAAGATTGTATCTCTTCATAAAAGAAGGACTATGGACGTGTTAACTAGGGTCGAGGTTTACAGAAAGTCGCTCCTAGGATTTGGTGCTGACTGGGTGCACCGATAGACTACCGCAATTCATTGTAAACTGCACTAATTCGCAGACCTCGAAGTGATGGGTTTGCCGTACCTGCGACGATTGATCGAACCAATGACTACGAGTGTTGCAGAGCACTTCTAACCAATGCGCTAAACGCGTCCATTGCATATATGCGCACGATTTGCATAATTCGGTCACCTCTATGATACTTTACTCCCAACGATTTACCGCCTCATCGTGGCTAGAAGGTGGTCCTGTGTGTCGAGCTGCGAAGTGCAGTCACCTCGGCAGAGTCTCCCAAGCTCCCAAGTCCGGCGTTTTCATCAGGAAACCCAGCTAAGAGTAAACGAGTACCAGCATCCACCAACGTCCTTGTTTGAAACTAGTCGCATGGTGAATCTCTCTCTGATCCACAGGCGCTGCAACTGTCTGTGGTGGTGACGACCTGAGCCAGATTTTAACCAAACTGACGTCAGGACTCCAAAGCAACACAATGGCTAAGCCAGCAAAACGCCGAAAAAACGGTGATTACGTTTGGGCCCGCATAACCAGTGAAGACCGGTCAACCAAGTATCCTAGTATCTATAATACTTAACAAGTGGCGAAGGTACAGAGTCAGCAAAGGGAATATTGGTACCAAATACTTCACATTACTTTTGACGATTTCAAGTGGTTCAGCACAAAATCTTTGAATTAAAGAGTGTTTCACACAGCTTAGCACAAGTGCTCGCAATTTATCCTCAACGCACGACGGGTGTATGGCGCGGTTGTCGGAGGCGCCTTGCAACACACACGTGGAATCCATCCCCGCGCCTCTGACCCACCAAGCCTTCGATACTTCCCGGTTAGGCGAATTGTTACCAGACTTCTCTGCGAGGATAGCAGCACTAGCTCGATACATTGGTAGGCCACCGCGAGTCATTGTAAAGTCTAAATATGCTTTCATTCACCTCCAACGATACTTAATGAAGTCGAATGCACAGCGCATCCCTAAAGGCTGATCAACGCGGAGAGCTTCGTCCTTTATTTATCCTTTATGTACAGCTGAGGCACAGACGACGGACCAGTTTACGCCCCTTTGAGATGTCAAAAAAGAAACCTAGTCATCCTATTTCATTGCCGAGCAATATTTTTTCACCACTCTAGGAGGGAAACTCCATAACATCAGAAACGTTAAGAATCATAGAAATGACAGTAAAAACGCTTCGCTTGAGAATTCATCAAAAGATATAGCTGTATGAAGACACGTCTTCAAAATTGCTAAGTAACACATTTTCACTGAATTTCATTATTTTCGTGATAAAACAAAACAACACCACAACAGATAATAAAGTAATAAATAACGTAATATTACACGAAAATGTACACGTTATAAGTAGCTCATTGGAGAACGGTTAACCATGTTTTGAAAAAAACTAGGGCTAGAGTTACACCACATAACTACTCGGTTGTCAATAAACTGGCTCTTGTTAAACGGGTTTTCCAACTAAGGTTATTGTAAGCGACGTAAAAACATAAGCTAACCACAGAAAGAAAAAGAACTTCCGATTGAAAAAGTTTCTATAACACACGAGATTCATGACAAGATCTTTAATATATGCTAATCAGAGTCCTCATCAGATGACACGTTTCTCTTAGACGGTTTTGATTTCCGCCGACTTGATGATGTTGATGACTGGCTATCCTAAAAGAGAAAATAATTGAAAAAATAAAACCTTGGTTACGGATGTCACTGCCAGGCTTTGCAAGAAATAAATGGATTTCCTCCCTCGCTAGGATTAAAGCCTTCACGAACTATGCAAATATTCCACCTTCCAATTCCAGTAGATGGCAATAAAATAGTAAATAAGAATTTCTATTCAGCTATGCGTGGCAGATATCGGAGTGGTAGTGACCTCGCCCAGTATGAACACGCCGTTCATCGATTTCGCGCAGAGACTCCTAATCCTCCTAGGGTAGTGAAATTGGTATCTGGGTCGTATGGGATCATCTTCCAATCCAGAAAATCTGGCGACTAATTATAATGAAAAACTTGGGAACATGAGAGAATAGCCATTCCAGGATTCCAGTTAGAACCCACTCGAGCAACATTCAGCGAAATTGTTCCAGTGGTACCTACAAACACTACAAGCACAAGAAGCTGCAGGTTGTAATGGTTTCAAAAATATGAGGAATTCACTTCGTCAATAGTGCACTTCAAAACAGAAAGTTTTGAACAACATGTTTACAACATCAGTGGAAATATGTGACAAAAGAATTGAGAACTTGTATAGTTTCCAATTCACACTGATGTTAGCGCACTACGAGAACGCCTATCCACTTCGCAACTAAAATTTTCAGTAGAGTATGTGTCAACAAAAGTCTCCTCACTGGTTTGCAATTTATCACGGAGAGGTGTATTCACGTGTCGAAATCCAACGTGCAAGTTCAGCAGAAACATCATAATATCATTTCTGCGAGACAGTCGCGCAGTAGATGAACAAAAAACTTCTTGTAAATTATAAGTGCTAGATATTTACATTGATTATAGCGTTGATTTAAAACGACGATATTCTGGTTACGAAAGTAATGTATGAACTCATGTGGGATTCTTGTGTAGTATGTTCATTTGCTTGTTGTCCAGAGTTTCATGTGCGCATCTGTCTCAAAAATCGATGGAAGTGATGACGCTAGGAGATTTCTTACAGTCACGTTATATCTTGGTTCTGTCAACGTGTTTCAATCTGACACTGATCGTAATGAATGGAGCTTGGGCGTTCACATCAACATGAGGACTAGATGAGGAAGTTCCACAAAAATAATGTGTAACATGCAATGTAATAATGTGTAATATGTAATAACATGAAATGCAAAAACTTAGCAGTGAATCCCGCTTATCAGAAAAGATTAAAAAGCGCTTTTTCTCACTTCTCAACTTCAGTCATTTGTTAGATTTGTAACAATTTTATGCAGGCAAGCCATAAAGCAGAAATCATCTTACCTCATTATCCCTTTTAGATGGGGTGCGATCTCGAGAGTCACCGTCGTCTGCACCTGCCTTCTGACTGTTGCTTCCGCTACTTCCTTCACTAGATTTTGCTTTTAGAAGAGCCAATGGATCTCCACCGGTTATTTTCATCCAAACAGCTTCCAACAGCATTGAGTCATTATAGATGTCACTTCCTTCCATATTGTACAACTAAATACCAAACAGTGTGAAATTAGAATAGCAAAATTCACCAACTTTAAACGACATACCCTAGCATTTTCACAGAGCAACTTCACATCACTGCCCATTTCCTCGATGGTAGCATACCTATGACGGAATTCAGATTCAAAGATAACATCAAAATAACCTTACAAAAAATCATTCCGCTCACCGTCCCTTGTCGATTTTCTTCTTAATCCTTGCAAAATCCATAGGATTTTGCACAACTTCGTAGTAATCAGGTAGCTCTCGCTTTGTCGGTAGCTCTATAAAAGGTACGGCTATTTCCCGACCGTCATTCGTCTTGAATCCCACCATGATATCGTAAACCTAAACAGTCACAATAATCATAGTGAAGTAAGTTCTAAAAAAACATTGAGATAAGAAGCACTGAACCTTGTTCATTATTTCGACCACTTCAGGACTAGCTCGTTTCCTTTTCTTTCCTTCATCGTCATCATCGTCTTCACCTTTTCTTTTTCGCTTCCTTTTCTTCGTTTCCTGCTCTTCCTCCTCCTTAAACATCAGCACTAAATAATATAGAGAAGAATGAGCTGTTTAAAGAAATAAAAATAACCAACCGCGTCATCAATCTGTTTCAGCCATTGGTCATCAGACATGAGGTCCGCAGAATAGTCGACCTGGATTAAGTCAACACGTTTTTGTCTAACTTGTATAACTGAACATGTATTCTAAAAGAAAAAACGCACTTCTCTCCTACGCCGCCTTCCGGTGGCGCTAAGATCTTCTTTATAAACTCCTTCTTTCTGGGCCCTTTCCATTTCAGCAAACTCATCTGATGCTTTAATAATATCGTGTGGTATTTCATTGTCTTCGAGAAGGCGAGGTCTTCTAAAGTAGACTTTTTATACTATTTCGTTTTTTTTCTTGCACTACTTCTCTTTATCTATCTATAAATTCTCTAAATTCACCTCTACGTTATAAATTTCTAATGTATATAAGAAAAAAATTGATTTAATTAGGTGCAGCTTTCCAAAGACCGAAATATTTCCCTTTTTCCTATTTCGCTTATTCCTTATTGTATTTCCAATTTTATATCTACCTTCTTTCCAATTTGCTCTTCTATTCCCTCCTCTGTTTCATCTTTTGTCAGTATAATTGCTAACGTGGAGATTTTCTAACAAGAGGACTTCAGGAACCAATAAATCAGATTTTTAAACTATTTTGCTCAACTAAACAGCATGAATTTTAAACTGGTTTGGACATATGCGTTTTAACTTCGTACCTATCCATACAATTCTTCCTGCTTTAACATAACAATTGAAAACTTTGTCGTTTAGTAGGAGGGGATGAAAAGTGATTTCGCGTTCTCAAACATGCAGTCGAGAGGACGATACTGACAGCATCGCGCATGACACAGGTGTGAAAGAAACACGAAGCAAACAGCTCAAAATCAGGTAGACCAGACATATGATGCCTTTGAAAAACAAGAGACTTAACAACTAGATTTCTCGGGATGTCAAGCGCACATCAGGAAGATCACCGACCACATGGTCAGGGTTCTTCAGAGAGAGCCTTATAACAGAGACGTGATGCTTAGCCAGCCCTTATAATTATCGAGATTCACTGGGCTCATTCCGCGTGTAAGAGGAAGCACATGGAACATTTACTACAATCTGCCCGGTTTACTCAAATGTCGAAGAGACGACATGTGATATAGATGGTACTTCAGAACTCAAATGCAAAGGAATCGGTAGTAACGAAGCTTATGTATGTAGCACTTTTTAATGAAGGAATGCAATTGGATAGTATTGCATATACATAGTTGGTTGGTCCGTCAACAGTGGTTGTGCAGTTCCCAGCACAATTTTCAATTGTTTCTCTCTCGCGCAATTACCGTTCATGGTGGTGATCTGCTTCGAATTTGGTGACGTCCGCGAAGTCCATTTCATACTCCCGAAGTCGATGTCAACTGTGAGTGAAGATGGCTGACGTTAGCCAAGAACACATTCGTCGATCGATATAGTGTCCTCCAAGAGGACGCTTGCATTCACTTGGAGTCCACTCAACTATTCTCTTCGTCCATCTGTCATCTGCTCCTCTTACTACGTGACTCGCGTAACTATGTTTCGCTATCGATATGTGCTCTCCTGAGTCTCTCCCATTCACGAAGATGAGATAGATTCCGAAGATCAGAGGCGCGCATTCTGTCTATGCGTTGCGAGTGACGATTAAATTTCAGAAGACATCGTTCATGCGTTCTGTGAGCAGCGTGTAGCATTTTTGACATGGGTCAGGTATCAGCCCACTTCTCTGCTACATAAAAGAGCGCTTGGAGGGCCGCTGAATCGAAAAGGAAAGCAAATTTGGGTCCGTTAGTTGGACGGTGGCTTCGTTGAGAGGCCCGAATGTGGCCTATGCTGCTCTCCTTTTTTTGTCAAATTCCTGCTTCATATTGCTCTCCTTGTTCAATGAACGTCGAAAGTACATGTACGAGGTGGGTTCTGTAATCGGAAAACTATCCAGTTTGATTTGTTTTTTTTTAAAATATATGTCGTCGGTAATGTGTTAAAGTTCGCACCATGGGGTCCTTCGTGAAGTGAGTCTTCGTACTATTTATGTCCGATCTTTTCTCCTGCTCAGCTGAGTTCATTTAGCATCGTCTCCACTTCAGTAGCACAACTCCAAAGAACGACGATTTCATCCGTAAAACGAAGGATTGTTAAGAAATTCCCGTTTATACGTAACCCTTTCTCATTCCAGTGGAGTGATATTATCCACTGCAGCACGCCAGTAAACAGCTTTGGGCATATTGTGGTGTAATACGAGTAAAACAAAGGTTTTCTCAGATTTCGTTAGACAGTATTTGGGTTGGAAAAGATATCGCCTAAATACAGAAAGTACAGAGAAAAGGTTCTCAGCTGTCAAGTAAACTGTTGAAAAGAAAGAGCACTAAGGTTAATCTTTGTCGTCTGTTATGTGTTAAATTTGGAAGCTGATGTATTTTAGGTACCGTATTTACCTCAGAAAAAGATATGCTTGCGACTGTGTTAATATTACTTATTAAATAAGCATAACCAAAAGCATATTAGTAAACTAGAAATAAACATAATACTGTGAACATCAATCTTTCATAAACTACTAAAACTTGAGGAAAGAGTACCTATGTAGTTGGCCAGCTTCCTCTCGCCGCCGATCAATATCCATTGACTGGAACTGATTAAACTCTTCTTCAGATCTGGCAATCATTTGGTTGATTGTCTCGTCATCAGGTACCTCGTCGTCCTCATCGTCTTCCGACTCAGCTCTAAAAATATTTCAATCCACAGCTTCTAAGCAGAACACATCCTCATCGATGCTCATAAACTACCTAACTTATGACTGTTTTCACGATGAAGTATTTCATTCGGCCAAAGAAACTTTTCTTTAAGCATGTCATGAATCTGACCGTATGATTTGTTCCAACATTTGTTTCCTCTCTGCACCAGTTGACCGCTGATCGAATTTGCCGGCCTGGATAACCTTCTCGTCAACATTTAATTTATACTTGGCTGCTGCTAAAATTCGTTCCTCCACAGAATTGGCGGTAATAAGGCGAAGCACCCTCACTTCTCTCTTCTGTCCAATACGATGAGCTCGATCTTGAGCTTGCATATCCTAAATATAAAACTTTGATAAAATGAAGACAAGAGGGAGTAAATATCCACAAAATTGATTAAACAAACCACTTCCTTATATAATTAAATAGTTTCCTTTTAAAGAAGAATTAATCTGCACCTGATGGGGGTTCCAATCTGAGTCAAATATGATGACAGTATCGGCTGTTTGTAAATTCAATCCCAAACCACCAGCGCGAGTGGATAGCATGAATAGAAAATACTCGCTGTCAGGAGCGTTGTACAGCTCAAGCAGTTGACCACGTTCATCCGGTTTAGTGCTGCCGTCCAGACGAAGGTATTTCCACTCTGCAAAATGTATAATTCTTATCACTTAGGATGCTAAAACAATCCCCCCCACCCCCAAAGTCATTTAACTATGGTGAAAACCTTCTCATAAGGGTTTGATAATCAGAACGTTGAAACAATATGAACAATGAATTTTTTAAAAGCACTACTTCGAATTTGAGTTTCACTTTATGCTTTGATCGTATTATAGTGAATATAAATTCTCGACACATTCTAGAAAGGAAATTATTACTCAGGTCCACTTAGACGAGGAAAAGAAAAACTTACTTCTATAGTTGAAGAAATCTTCGATTATTGTCATCATAGTAGTCATTTGGCAGAACATAAGAACGCGATGTCCAGATGCTTTCAGTTTCGGTAAAATACGATCAAGCAATTCTAGTTTGCCAGCCACACGGTATAAATCCTGCCTGTAAAAATATACTCTACAGCTTTATTGCCTAAAACGATTAAAGCAGTACTCTGGAATCAGTACAAGACGTATGACAGCACTCAAAAATGATCAAAGTTGTTCATCTTATTGCACAATGTCCCATTTCCAAGTGAAGAACAAACAAACAAACAAAAGTGCAAGCATAACACCTACCCTGAGACTTCGTCGACCTTCCAGAATGCTCTGCAGGAGTCTTCAACAGATTGGAAAAGGAATGGGTGATTGCAAAGTTTTCGAAGGTGAACTACCGTATTCATAAGAGCGCGACCGCCAGATTGCTAAAAATAAGCTCATTTCTAAGGTGGCTAAAAACTTCGGTAGGGTCCTATGTTTACCTGTTTACTATCGATAAGTAATCCTTTTTGCATATGCTTATACAGCACTTTCTGAAGAGCTGACATGTCACATTTAATGACATATTCAGTCTTATCGGGAAGTTGAGATTCCACCTAAAAATTCTCGTTTTAAAAGAAACGTAGGATTCCACTCTACAACAGTGAGAATTGTACAATGAGAGCACACGCAAAGATATAACACACTTCTTTTTTCAGTCTTCTTAACAAGAAAGGTCGTAACACTTTGTGAAGGCGTCGAATAATAAGCATTGTTTCTTCCTGATTCAATTCTACCTGAAACTTAAAAAAAGTAGGACATGACTGAATAAAACAGATACAAGTCGTTAAAAGATAGAAGATCATGAGAAATGAAACTGTAAAATTTCAGCGCAACGTATAGCCTACTGCCAAAAAACCTCACCTTCTCTCCAGTAGTTGCGAATGGAGCGTTAAACCATTGTTCGAACGTACCACATGAACTGAAAATTGAAGGAAGCAGGAAATTGAGGAGCGCCCACAGTTCCGGTAGCTAAAAAGTGTAGCTCACGATCCGTATTTCTCAAAATGTGATCAAAAATGAAATCAAGCTGAGTGCAACGCAAGAAAAATCCGAAAATGAACCGCGGGGAAGAATGCCTCATTATTACGCGTGATATAGGGCAGCATATAAACCTGTTATTCTGATGGGAGGGGCACATTACACTTCCATGTGATTTCTGTGCAGTTGGTCTCCACGCGACATACTTAGTGGAAACCTCATAGGAAGCGGTGAGTGTGCAAAGCTGTGTTCAATGTGATTGAAAACTTGGTTTAGAGTTTCTTTGTTTGGTTATAGAGGCGTCTGGCCGAGTAGACTGCTATTAACTTGACCTTCCCAGACTCTGAGGAAGGCGAAATCCGCCGAAACGCCAGCTTTTACGTGAGTAGGGAAGTGGAATAGCACCTTGTGTTTGCTGAACAGAAGTGGCAAGAAAAATAGTCAAGAATGAACATACCTTATTCTGAAGTGGAGTTCCCGTAAGAAGCAACCTATGTTGGGCATGAAAGTAGCCATTCAACATGAGAGTGAGCTTACAGTTGTGGTTTTTTAAACGATGACCCTCATCGATGATCATGTACTTCCAGCGGATCTGAACAAAAAGTCAGTGATCACGGAATTTAGGATTTAGTAGTAACGATGCAATCAACAATCTTAAGATGCACTAACCTTCCCAAGCAACGCTTTCTCACGTATCACATACTCGTACGTAGTTAGCAAAACATTGAAAGCTCCCTTTCGAATTATCCCTTCAACACGTCGACGAGCCTCTTTGTTGCCCTTATATACCACCTAAAAACATGACTTGTATGGATACAAAACTCAGAAGACAAAACCTTAAAGAAGGGAAGGAAAAGAAGGAAAAATTTAAATACCTTCACCACCGAAGTTGCCCATTTTTCAAACTCCATATTCCAATTAGAAAGCGTCGACAACGGCACAATAACAAGATATGGGCCATTATTCTGTTTCACTTCCATCAAATATGTAATAAGAGAAATTGTCTGAACAGATACAACTGAACACTAGAAGAAATGGTATGCCAAGGAAGAATATACTTGGATAGTCTTTCCCAAGCCCATTTCATCCGCCAGAATTCCATTCAAATTATTGTTGTAAAGCGACACCATCCATTCAAGACCTTTAAGCTAAACAGTTAACATGATCCAAGAAATTAGTTAATTACTAAGCAATACTAACCCGTCGATAACCATACCTGGTAAGGTTTTAACTGCAGAGTCTCGCTTCCCATTGTTGAGTGTTGCTGTACAATCTTCTCCTTAATCCTGTGTGCAGTTGCATAATAATCGGCCATTTGTTTACGGTTTCTTTGATCATATTCATCTTCTTCGTTCCGGGCCTAAATAAAACACCATGGTCTTTAAGTATCTGACATACCACAATGCTAATGTAAAACTTTGAAAGTGCACCACCACTCACTGTTTCTTCCGAAAAAAAACATTAACACAGCACCTTTTCAAGAATAAGACGAGCCTTCGTTTCCTCATCCATGCCAGCATACTCGTCAACATCTTTTTTTCCAGGTGTGGGGGCAGGATTGTCTTCAACGTCAGAATCGGAATCGTCGGACAGCTGGTCTCGTGGTACAACCTGATCTTATAATTGGTTACCAACAATGATCATTCTTTGCCCTACTACTAGTCCATTTAACAAATTAAAAGAACCTCAAATATATGCTTGAAATTGACGTAAGCGAAAGATAACACAATAATAGAGACCAAGAAACCGACAGCACCAAAAATGAAACAGAAAAAAACCATGTCGTCGAAAAACCGCCTATTTAGTGATGCTTTATGTCATTGAGAATATAGCGCACTTTTATCCTCTATACGCCTCATTTTCCACAACATCCACAATAAAGAAAATTCCACATAAAAAGGACTTAAAATTCGGAACAAATCCGAAGATCTACGCTACAGATTCAGTAATGGCATGCATAAAAGTTCTTAAGTAGTTATGAAGACAAAAATTACACCCAAATTACATAGCTAAAACCGGTACCATCTCCTTAACAAATTTGTTCCTACTAATGAATGTATTTCCAAAAAATCTAGTTCACTCGCGAAAAAAGGTTATTTGAAACAATAATAGATAATTTTCCAAATATCAATAACCAGCAAGGACCTTTTCTTTCTGACATATCACTGACGACGCCTACGAGCAACATGATTATCACAAAAACGCCTACGCGCAAAGTGATTATTACAAAATCCATTCGGTACAATGTGCCACTTCCAAAAAGAAAAAAGTATGAACATATGTCCCTCTACATTTATTCACTAAATCGTTTTTAAAATTCATTATTTAACAGCTTCCAGTCTTTACTTCCTACATATCTTCCGTACGTAATCACTGCATTCTTTTTGCTAGTATTCTCTTCTTGGAACATTTTATACCTCTTCTGGTAAAAGAAATATTCAGAATCCAGCCATGGTGATGTCAATACAGTTCCCAAAGGATGCAGGGCACTCTATTTTTCGAAGAAAGAATTTAAACCAGACCATTAGCTATGACGACCGTGGTGTAACACAAGGTATAATGAACAACAATAAATAATTTCATCAAGCTAGCAACCCGGAAGAACGGATGGAGATAGTTTAGAGTGTCCACCTAAGAAAACGGTCACCATTGCCTAATCACCGGAAAATCTTTTAGAAAACAGCCTGAAAAAAAAAAGAAAGCAGTTCACTAATGTTACTCACATCCTATACCACAATCATCCGTTTTTTTTTTGCTTTTTTCTGTCTCAGCCACCTTCATTTCAATATTCTTAATGTTCCAACAAATGTCTAAGAAGTCTTCCCCTTATGTTGTAAAAAATTTCAGTGTGCATTACTCCTGGTGAATTTTACCCGCGAAAAAAAACCTTTGCAGTACTAGGTCATGTCAGCTGAAGATACATATTAATCATCAGTCTGCTCCTCTCAGACAGTGAACAAGAACAGAATGAATACATAGCGGTGGAGAAAAAAAGAATATGATAATTTTGAGGTCGGTAGTTAGCGGTGTTAAGCTGTAACTTAAGTTCCCATGACAGTTTTACTGTAGTGGATTAAATAATTCCGCTTGAAGGTAAAAATATGGTAAAATTTTACGAAATATTTGTTACTGAAAATATGCATTTGGTTGTGAACCAGACCAAAGATAAGTCGTGGCAGTTGTGAAAGAGATGTAAAGACGTCAGCCTCTGCCTTCCTAACTATTGCATTGGCTATGCTTGAGAGATAACGGGAGTTCTAGTTAGCCCTGTGGAAGTGTTCTAATAGATGCGAGGTTATAAAAGATCCAGACTTGTAACGTTGTTGGTAAAGCCTCATTTCACAGACAAGTAATGCAACATTGGCAATATTGGCTGTAGAAAAATTAGTTCATATGTTTAAAACATGGCGTAAAAGGATAAAGGACAAAGGACTCGGTGTTGAGTTGATCAGTCTCTGAGGGATACGCCGTGTATTCATCTTCACTAAGCATCGTTAGGGATGATTGAATGCATATCTTGCCTATAAATTCAATCGCAGTAGCCCACCGATGTATCGAGTAAGTGCAATTACACTCTTAGACAGTTTTTGTAGCAATTTGCCGAGTCCAAATGGATGGAAGGCCTAGTGAACCTGGAGCGCGGGATCGAAGCAATGTGTATTGCAAGGGATTTCTAGTCACTACGCTACACGCGCCCTCCTATAGGAGAGTTCTTTATATTCTCCTCTATATTTTCATATGGAAGAGTACACTACTAACACTTCTGGGATACTATACAGAGTACGTTTAAAAGAGGACAACTCAAGCTCAATGGTGAAAAAAGGGTGTAACCAATTGGTTTCGAAGAGAACTAAAGGAATATTACTACAATGTCGACAATAAATAATGCGGCCATCTTCTCAACCAATTCGCCAACGTCGCACGTGATCGAAAGCTACAATCAAAAAAAGCTCTTCGTAACCGCTAATCAGAAGGTAAAGTTCTCTTCTTAAGAATGACAGAACATAGAGATAATTCTGCATCTTTTCACCAGGACAAGTACAATGAACGGATGTATCTTCGGTGATGCGAAGAAAATTGTAATGCAGGAGTTCAAGCCTCAAGTCTTTTTGAGTGACTCGATGACATAGACTGCAAGTGCATATATAGTAAAGAATCAGTCCTAGAACACGGTTACAAAGTGAAAAAAAATGAGACGGTGGCGCTTCTTATAAGTTCATTAAAAAACCGTTGCTGATCAAAATCTGCAAGGGCACCTATCAAGCAGATTATAACTAGATGCTGCGAATTTATAAAACATCTGTCTAAATTGTACCAGCAAAAACATCAGATGACAGAAGAGTGCACGAATGGGAAACGAAGATCTGCTGTTTGCAAATACTTTTTGGAAAAGCGATGATAAGCATAAACTTACCACCATCTAAACCTTTTGTAATAACTTTGGTGTTAAGTATAAACACACTACAGTTAGGTCTATATAGGTGTGCTCAGTATTAGCAACCTTATCGTAACCCCATGGTGTCCTGTGACGAAGAACTTCTTCAAGTACAGCACAGACATATCAGCACTTCATTATTACTATCACTAACGGTACTCTAGCTAGAGAAGATAACCTAACATCGTTATGCTTAAGGGCAAAATCGTTCAACCACACTCAATTACATGAATATGATAGTGTAAAAATGGTTAATTAAGAGCACAAAACAGGGCTCTTCTCAATGAAAACCTAACAAAAAGATGAAAAGATATCGCAGGCATTTGCGCGATAAAGGAAACTATTTCGACAGAAATAAGGTGTTAATAACCCAGATTTTTCACAACGTATTAAACTTCGTCAAGTAATGGAAAATTTAAAATAGAACAGTCTTAGGATATACCTCAAATCCTGGATGAGTTTCAAGCCACACTTCCAATTCGTCGGGTTTAGGGGCTTCATCGCCTTGTAATATCTTCCCAGTAGATATTTCACGAACATGGACGCGAGCTTCGCCTTCTATGATGGAAGCATATAGTGTGACGCAGTTAGATAGTGCGCTCAGATTACTCCCAGATCATACCTTCCATTTTCGACAGTTTCTTCTCTTCTTTTTTCTTTTTCTTCTCAACGTTTTGATGTTGGCGTACAAGACTACACAGACTTTCTACGTACTCATCAGTTTGTTGTAACAGATATACAAGTCGTTGGTCCTGGAAAGTTGTCCTCTTTGCATAATGCATTCCCCAGAAATAAAGACCTTGGAAAGTACCTTTTTCTCATCAAGCAATGCGCGGTAGCCTTCTTCATCTTCCTGCATAAGTTTCTGCATACGGAGTCGTTCGTTTTTGATCTCATCCTTCTTTCTTTCGCGCTCATTATTCTGATGATATGTTAGAACTGCTTTCTTCACCTTTTGAGTCTTGAGTAGGTTGTTTCTGGAATAAAATCATAAGACAAATTAGAAGAATAATGGCGTGTCTATAGTCAAAAGGAAAAAAAAACCACCATACCTGTGGTAGTCTTTGAATTCTCTTCCATGCTGTATAATTGCTTGCATGAGGTCAGTATGTTTCTGACGTCGCTTTCTTTCCTGCTCCATTTTTTGTTGTTTCTCCAGTTTTTCTGTTACTCTTGCTTCGCGTAACGACTGCCTCTTCGTACGACGATAGGCGTATGGGTTCAATGCTGTCTCGAGGGTGGTATCTCTTCTAAGAGCTCCCAATATTTCACTTCGGACCTGTACTAAATATATCTTACGCATTCGCAAAGCAGGTAATTCACATTACAGTCAAAACAAACAGCAACACAAAACACTTCCACAGATGCGTCTAGTTATTGCGTTTGAATTTTATCACTTAACCAATTTAATACTATCAAAAAGATGGTCAGCTATTACACGCCTATAGAACCAGGTCACAGATGCTTGACGAGGATTTCTTTCTACCTGTGCTTGAAGATTCACTAAACGTAGAGCACGGAGCTCTATCTCGGCTTTGATTCTCAAATTCGGTGGAAGATCCGCTGGCAGGTTACTTAATTCCCGAATGCGAAGTCCAACACGATTTTGGATTCTAGATGAATTCCAAATGTAAACTACATTGGATGAGCAACAGTGGTAAGTCCTTACCTGTATTCACGCTCTTTTAAAAGTGATGCTGGGTCTATACCTACTGGAGTTGGCAAGGATGTTGGACGTGCACAACGTTGCTGATGAATATTCAAAACCTAGAAACGACTATGCAGAAATAAGTAGCTGAAACAATGAAGAATGTGGACAATAAAGACCTTCATCAGATCATAAGGCAGCTTTTCGCCGTTGTCACCTTCTCCAGGAAATTCATACGGCTCAGGTAGAAGCGATGTTGGTTTATTCTTCATGAAAACTGCTTCAGCAGCAAGTGCTGGAGGTACGGGTTCGTTCCTTGCCAAAAGCTTGTAAACGCTCACCTTGAAGTAAATATCTTACTGAATTAAGAAAAGAAAAAACTGGAAAGCAAGGTATACTTGCGCTCTTAGTTGATTTAGCTGAGCTGGCGTGATTGCTGGCGGTTGTTGGTTGACTGATGGCGAGGCCTGCTGGACTGTTTCGAGCGGTGGAGTACCTAGAATAAAGAACAGGACCAACACTTCGAATTTAAAGAATGAGAGAAGGGTAGGACGAGGGCCTCAGTGGTGCAGTGCGTAACATGCGAGCCCACGGAAAGGGTCGATCTGGGCCGGGGGCCTAGTTTTGCAGATATCTCAGCATCATAATGGTTATATTTAACGTCATATTCCGCTCTACAAAAAAATAATTGCAGGTGAATATAAAAGTTAACGTCTTCATTGGTTATACAGGCCTCAATATAATTTCCATTTTTTGGAGAGTTGCTGGTTTACCCAGTGCGGTTCCCAGGAGTGCCGAGGACAGCGGCCTAAATCTGCCCCAGGCCGTCACCTTCATAGGCAGTCGTCGCCCTTGTTGATCAGATGAATATTTTCCACCATGCGACTAGTTTGATACCAAAACAGTGGTGGATGCTGGTATTGGTCTACTCTTAGCTGGGTTTCCTAATGAAAACGTCGGACTCCTTTACAGCATGGGAGATCGTGCCGGGGATGAATTATCACTGTACATAGTAGTACGACACTACCCAGGAGCACCTCACAGCCACAAAAAGGCCATAAACCGTTGGGAGGCACTGCAACTATAAAGAATAAAACAGAAACCTGTACAAATCTAGCCAAAAACGAAGCTCACCAGTGGTAGGAAGTTTAGAAAACAATAACATTAATACGCTCTTCCAGTTTCTTGCCAATTTTCCATAAGACAACTTCCTAATTCTTTAGAAGGAAAACAGTCAAATCCTCTTGCATTTCCTTCCTTCATCAGTACAATCAGTCAAACAAAAGCTTCTGCTCTTACTTTGCTGCTTACAATTTCACTTATAAACACAGAGTTTAGTAATGACGTTGCTTGAAACAAAAACCTTGCATGGACAAGCATAAGTCGCCTACACAAAGGGTTTAAGGAGTTCGAAAGGTTTAGGGATTCGGTTTAAGGAGTATACAAAAAGTAAGAAATACTCCAGCCCATTACCAGTGAGTTTGGACTTCAACTGCAGCATCTTCTGATAACGGGGATCCGCAGTCAGTTGTTGCTCTTCCATCGTGGCCATTGAGTTCTCCAGTTTGGCTATAGTCAATTCTTGGCTCTGAAAGACAAGGTAATACAACAACACTTTTTCTTCTTAGTTACTAGTTGCAACTCTGAACAACGCGAAGGCGCCGAAAATTAGGCTTAACAAAGCTTGGTCTCAACCTCGGTTAGCTTACAGACGAAAAAAGTAGACAATCTCGCAATTTGTTCTAGTAGATCTCACTAGAATATGTTATAGCCTTATGGTGCTCAAAGAATTCACTCCCTATGACAGTTATTTCGGAAATTGGGAAGCAACCCATTATTCCATTCCCTACTTTATTTCTGCGCAAAGTTCCATGATACATGCAGAGGACTACTATTCTACTTCCCTTATCCTTAATAACCTTGTGCTAGTGCTTCCAAGTACTTCATGGTGAGTGCTACAGACCTGCGCTGTCATAGCATCGCTCTGGATGGTCTGCTGCTGAGCCACGAACTCGCCGGCCGCTTGTGGTGGCTGAGCCGTGAACTGCTCGAACGCAGGTCGACTCATTCACGCAGCTCCTCGACCCTGCCACAAGAAGCGCATTATTCCAACGATAGGTAAAACGATCACAGTCACCAAATGCCGTCTAGTGAACCAGATATGTATAAAACCAAGTCAAAAATAACTGCATAGTAAGAGTACTCAGCGCTAGCCCAATTGAAAACCGGGTGGGATCGATATTAGGCAAGACGCCAAAAAATTGGCGATTACTGTGATTTTCCGTGCAGGGCTCTTCTCCTAGGACAAGCAACCAATTGGCCCGCCCATAAAACTGTGCGCGTAATTCTTTCGAACCTAAAAATCCATAGATTTGCTGAATTCGCACGTTTTTGGTGCACTTCCGTCGGTGCCCGACTTTCTGCTATTCACCTGTTCGACTTCGTTTTGCGTTTGGAGCGAAGAGTGAGGGACTCGCGAATGGATGCGGCCTAGGCCGTTATCCTAACCCTTGCACTAAGTTCTAAAAGAAGTAGTGCATTCATAGAATCATTGGGGCAAAAATTTCCCTAAGGGCAGTCACAGTTCACCGAGCTTTATAGATTCTCGTAACTAACGTTCTTGAGAACATTTTGCTTCGATGTCATGAACTTTGGCGTTATTTGCTTAGCTCGTTTATCTCGATCAATAGAGCTCCGCAACCTGGAATTGTCCAAGGTTCGTGGACATTGAGCGTTTTACGTTCGCTTCTCATTCAGGTAGTTGTGCTGTCAGGAGGATGAAAATGAATGTGGTCGATGATCTTGTGATTCGATCCGAGCCCACGTATACGGAGACTGATCCAACGCCGGATGGTGAGTGTATTGTTTAGCTCAGTAGGGTTAGGAGGTTTTCCTTCTCCTTGTATCTAAAGATCGTCTTATAGTTATCGGTCTGGAATTCGTGCGTCAGTATTACACCATTTTGTCCAAGCAACCTGGCAATGTGCACAAATTCTATAGCCACGAATCTGTGTTTGTACACAATGACGTCACTGTTGTCGGGCAACAGGTGTTCATTTCCGCTTACATTCAAGATTAGACTCGCTGTCGAAACGTTTTAATCGGAATTGTTTTGAAGAAAATCAAGAACTGTATCGAACAATTGGTGGAGGCGAACAACAGGTTCAAGATTCACTCCGTAAAGGTGCTGTTTGTCACATTTTTCGTAGGTAGTTGCCTCGAAATTGAAGGTTCTTAAGTGCTTATTTCTTAGTACATTTTGCTTCTTGCTTCGTCACTCTATCGTCATTTGGATGTGTTTCCAGGGATCGTTCACGTCGAACAAGGGGATCGTTCTGCAAGTGTGTGGCGAGGTGTCCACTCGTCGCTTTTTCCAGACATTCATTCTCGCACAACAGAGTGCTAAGAAATTCTACGTGCAGAATGACATCTTCCAATTCGTCGATGTTGCGTTCCATTGTGAGTCTCAGGATTCGCCAGCACCTCCGGCGTCCAGTGAATCAGCCGTTGCCGAGGTACAAATTCGATTCGTTTCAGTACTGATACTTTTGTTACGTTTGTTCGAAAAAAGTGTGGGAATTTCCGCCCAACTTCGGAAGATATTGGTATACAAGAAGATACTTATTCTGTTTCGAGCATTGGTTACCTTCATCTTTGTATTTTTCTCTTGCGTTTAATTTGTCATAGTAGCGGTATGACGACTCTGGAAAGGGTCAGCACTTTTTTTTTTAGCTATCAACTCCCAATTTATTTTGCATTATTATTACCACATTTTTTTCTCACTACCTTCGTAGGGACCGTGTAGCGCAGTGGTCGAGGGCGCTCTACAATACACATGGGATCGATTCCGCTGCCGTGGGCTCACCAAGCCCTCCATCCCTCTGGGGTCGGCAGATTGTACCAAGCTTGTCTAGGAGGATGGCAGCACTGGCTTGATACATCGGCAGGCCACCGCTAGTAATTGTAAAGGCGAGATATGCATTCACTTACCTCCAATGGTGCTTACTGAAGTCGAATGCATGACGCATCCCTCAGGAATTGATCAGCGTCGATAGCTCTATTCTTTTCTGTTATCCTAACGTCCAATATATTTTGATTGGTTTTTGTTTATATCTACACTGACGATGTACGCTTAACTACGCACCTCTTCCCAAGTTTTTAGTGGATTTAGCATGAGCTTTGTTGGATGTTTTTTTTTGTTTAAATTTATCAGCCTCTTGTAAGCTTATCAAAGAAAGGTTACATATTGATTGGTCATACCAAGGTTAAAGTAAAGTCGGTTTTGAAACATTGTTTTTTTTATCGCTCAAGAATTACCTGCTTCTGGGTAGGTTATTTGCAAAGCCAACTGTTTACTGAAGACAAATGTTCGAGCGCATCGTTGAAAAACTTGAAGAAAATGCTATAGAAGCTCTTTTACCACATCTCTTTTCAAGGCACAATCTGTTGAAATCGATCTGGTGCAAAACGGCCACAATCATTCGCATTCGTCAATTGCATTGAGTTGCGAAGAAACGCCTGCTATGACAAGCGTCGTTTCTCATGCAAAAGTGGCTCCGGTGAAAAATCCTACGATCCCATCAACGGAAGGTAAGTGGGACCACGATAACAGCATACATTCCATGTTATGAACCTGTTTTATCTTACCAGTTTTGATTAGAATTTTACTGTTTTATTTTGTGGAGTACTGAAGGTTTGTTCTAAAGAATTCGTGTTAATATTTATTTCAGAGATATCCATTAAAGAGTCACCACCTGTGGAGAACACACTCAAATCCAAGGTGGAACAGACGAATCTGGAAACAACGGTGCCTCTATCTGCTGATAATACTCCAAAGACTTGGGCCCATCGTGTGGGAGGAGGACCTAAGAGTCCAGCTGCTCCATCTGCAGCTCTGTCAGGACAAAAGTCATCTGCAACAAATAATGCGAGTGGCCCTGCAGCTACGCGAGTCCAACAAGTTACCCGTCCACATGTGCAAACAAATGGTAAATTTAACGCTGCTTTCTTGAAACATTGCAGACGATGCGTATTAATTTCGATGTTCTTTCTTTTTTACCCAGAATTCTTCCACTATTATTTATGCATTCATTCAGTAGCTTACCAAACTTGTTGTGCAGGTTATGCAGGGGTGTAAGTAGAAAAGGTAGGTTATACGCTTAACACTTTGCAGAAAATGTCCTCCCACTTTGTTTTTGTTACTGCAAAGGTCCTTTTTGGTGAGGATGGGATCTGGGTCTGCCAGAATATTGCGAATGAGGGGAAAGAGAGGGGGAGGGGGACAAGATGTTTCTGGTTCACAAATATGATTGTAAATATCAATATCCTATGTCTTTTTGCACTGAATGTGTTTTGGGTGGGAAAGGAATTAATGTCATCGCATTAGGCGCTCGTCTCAAAACTAATTCTTTGGAAATATTTTGATTCTTACTTGTTCATTTGGTGAGACAGCGCTGATACCGAGACTTGTAGCGTTCCGCAAATGTTTGTGTGAATATATGGCACCACTGTTATGTGTATCTCAACACATCACACTTATTTTCATGGAGTTCAATCAATCACGGAGAACGTCGTATTTATCTCGGAGGTATAATAAGAAACATTGTTCCTGTCAACACAAACATCGCTGAGCAAGAGATTAAGGATGCTTTTTCCAGTACGTTGACCATTGCTTAGATTGTAAAACAGTTCCGTTTTGACTTTTCGTTCTCTGCTTTGTATAGTACTCTAGTACTCGTAGTGAAGACAATAATATGCTACCTATCAGAGTTTGGCGAAGTTGAGTCAGTGGCGATTCCTCGTAAAGTTCTCGACCAACCAAACGATACATCACGTAATGGCTTCGCTTTCATCTCAATGCGAACTGCTGTTGACGCACAGAACGTCTTTCAGAAAGCTCGCAAGGATGTCTGTTTACTCGACTTTCGTTCTCCTTATATATGAGGAAACTGTGGAGGATAACGTTATTTTAGGATCGTGGAACATATCACCTTCAGCTACGTCTTGATGCGTTTGGATTTGACGGAGAAGTGACCATTTCCGAACAGAAAGACCGTATGGATAGACCGAGCGGAGGATTTCGTGGTAATCGCAGTGGGTTCATTTCACGAGGTGGAGCGAGTTCATTTTCACGCAGCGGTGGCAGAGGTCGAGGTGGAGGCGGTGGTTTCCGTGGTGGCTTTCACAATCAGAGCAATCATTAGATGTTTAGATTCTTCTGTGATGTTACAACGCCTCACATGATAAGGTGTCAACCCAAGCGACCATAAAAATTTCTATTTAGTTGTTCACCATCTCCCCCCTCCTCCCCCCTTCCCCTTGTGCATCCCTTTAACTCTGCGAACCAGACAACTACAATTGTTAAGTCGTTATCGTAGATCTATTTGTATGAAATCTCTTTTCGCCATGGCTCATTATTTGTAACTTGTGATTTTACTTGTTCCGGTTCGTCTAAAATGTTTATTTCAGAGTGGTGTATATTGTGTTAATAATGTTTCCCGTTAGATTAACTCCTTCCCTATAATTGCATGAATATTAAGATAGGTAGAGTGAGGTCGTGGTGTGGGTACACCATGTTTAGGTTTTCTTGCAACCAGGGCTAGCCATTATGTTATATCGCTGTCTCGTAGATCTCCGAGTGCCGATTTCTCTTTTCCTTCCTCTCTTTCCCTTCTCCTAATGCTCCCCTCACCCTCCTCAGTTGGTACTAGCTCAGCTTGAGGTCCACGTGTGTCCCAAGTGCCCGTGCCCCTCCTCGTTATGTTTTTTGTTCGTTTTGACGGCTGTCGTTGAGGTGTTTGCAAAGCAGCCAAGTGCTTCCATTATCTTGGTAATATTGGCATTGTGACTGTTGAATCGAGCACACTTTGTCTTCACAGAGCTTAAAGTTTGCGAGATTCAGACTTTTTGCCATATTGTTAATTTTACATCCAAAATTTATTGTTTTTTGTGACGAGTAAATTTTGTTTTGAATAGCTCTGCAATCCCTTGTTCATGTTTTGGTTTGCTGCGGGCGACCTTTATACATCTGGAATTTTAATAAGTTATTGAATAAATGCCGTTGTTTTGAGTCCGTGGTGTTTTGGATAGTGTTTTCTGGATCATCATCATGGAAGGGGATAACTATAATGTGATATCCCAACCTCAAGAGGATGATCTCGCCTACCCGTAAGTTTGAATCGCTAGGTGATTATCCATGTATAGAGTATGCGCTTTGATTTCGTTCGGTTTTAAAAATTCTGTAATGGAGGAGTGGTCGCAATTTTCTTTATTTTCATGTTTTCTCATGGGTAATGAAACTTTAGAGACAGAGAGGATATCACTCAAGCATCTAGCTCAGTCGTCTTGAATGCGTTGAATGAAAGTGGGCAACGAAAGCGTCGTTTTCAAGACGATGACCCATTCAATATGCCGACGGATGAATATTACACTCATCCTATAGGTAAAGCATGAGTTCTTCAGTTAAATTCTTTAGTCATGATTTGCCCTGCCGTAATGGTAGGCTTAGGCTACGCGTGTTTTTAAGATTTAAGGAGAGAGACCTAGGCACCAATGTTTTTTTCTTAGCATGTGCTGGGTTTCTTAACACGAATATATTTGAATCATTCATTCGAGGCTTTTTTTTCTTTGAGTGAACTCGTTGACAGCCCACCGGCCAAATGCTGGTGATAGTATAGGTGATGGTGCTTTTTACGCCTTTGAGTCGTTTCACAAAGAAATCTCCAATTCTTTACTCTTGAATGGTCTCGGTGTGCCAATACTGGTCATTAGAAAGGGCGTCACATATTCAGAGATTGTACTGAATATCATGAGAAAATAACCCGGAACCAAGACCCCCGAACGGGTTTCTTCCTAGTCCACACTGAAGCCATGTCCCGGAAAGCCACCCTGAAACGAAGAGTATGCAAAGTTCGTTCACAGACAAGGCTCAGAGTTTATGATAACAAAAGGTGCTATATTTTCTGCCTAAAAATGGTAGTACGCTGTGTTTGTACCATCTATCTTTGTCTGGTGTCTTTACATTGCTCTATCGGTGGATTTCCTATTTTTACAGATTGGCACATGCAGATGCCCATAACATTAGAAGAGCACGAGAAGTCTAGAAACAAGAGGATCGATGAAGAATCTGTCGCAAATCGTCTACTTCAACGGATTTGTTTAGCGAGAGCAAAACGACTTTGTGCCAGGAGAGAGCAGCGCCAAATTTCTGAGGGTCATTATTCCGATGATGATGTAGAAAACAATCAGGTAAAATAAGTTCAGTGGAATTAGTCGTTCATATAATGGTTGGTGAATTAAGATAGTTTTCTGTTCGATCGCATATTTCATTATTATCAGATAATGTCGACTCCTCCTATAGACGGCTCCAAGTGGATCGGAGTTAGTAGTGATGACAACCATCAAAGGTATACGCATTATACGCATCCATAAATTCAAGAGGTTTTGTAGTCAGTGTGAATTTTGTTCCATTTTTTCCCACTTGCTGAGGTTACACCTGAGCTGAACGTTTTCCGATCTTACGTCAGCATATTTCCTTTCATTTCAATTTGTGTTCAGCGTAAGCTACTAAAATTGAAGTGGAAATAAAGTGGCAAAAATAGGGCCGCGGTTTGGCTTGCAACGAGGAGCTATTGATCATACGGTTTCAGAAGCTTCGCTACAAGCGTTAAAAAATTTAAAATATCGAAAAAATGCAGTGCAAATTGAAACTCGAATTAATGAAATCATTGTTATAAAGTCTGACTTCCATAACTTATCTGACGAATAATGACATGTTAGGTAGGTTTAAGCAAATATAGGCAAAGGGAAATCGGCGTTTCGGTGTCGATCAATCCCCGAGGGATGCGTCATGCATTCGACTTCACTAAGCATCGTTGGAGGGACTGAATGCATATCTGGCCTTTACAGTGACTCGTGGTGACCTACCGATGTATCAAGCCAGTGCTGCTATCCTCCTAGACAAGTCCGGTACCAATTTGCTGACCCAGGAGAGATGGAAGGCTTGGCGTGCCATGGGCGCGGGGATCTATGCTATGCATATTGCAGGGCGCCCCGACGACAGCGCTGCACGAGCCAAGGGCAATGATACACCGAAAAAATTTTGAAGCCGTTTCTACATCTCATACATTTGCAGTAATTCGTTAATTATTTCTCGATTTTTACGGTTCTTATTTTCGATTGATAATGTCGCATTTCAGGAACTTGTAGTACTATAGTCTTTTGGTCCAAAATCGTGGATTGGTAATGTTACATTCTAAGCTTACGGTGGTATAGTATCTTGGTGCAAAATGATGGACTTCATAACGTATAACTGAGTGGAACGTGGAACCTTCTTTAACACACTCGCGTTCTGGCCTAATATTCCATCGCTTTGTGATGTGTACTAAACTCTGCTACTCTGGGCATAACCTAAAATGCACCAAATGTATGCGCACTTAGTGGATATTGTTGCGAATGTGCTAACACATAATTTCGCGTATGGACAGTATGATGTCCACACTGAGTTTAGTTGGTTCTAGAGATTTTTCACCTCACTATGTATACTCGGTAGCCCGTGTAGCGCAATGGTCGGAGGCGCCCATAGGCCTTGGAATACACATGGGGTTGGTCTCTGCGTTCGACGCTCACCAAGCTTTCCATCTCTCCCAGGTCAGCAAATTGGTATCAGATTTATCTGGGAGGATAGCAGCGCTTGCTCGATACATTGGTAGGCCGCCGCGGTCACCTTCAACGATGCTGAACGAAGTCGAATGCATGGCGCATTCTTCAGGGATTGATCAACACCGAGAGCTTTATCCTTCTCTATCTTTTTGTATATTCATTCGATAGCTAATCGAAAGCAGATCAGTCTGGATGAGGTCAGAGAGCCCATTTTCAACACTCAACGGTTTGTAAAAAAGAAAGCCTTTTTTCGAAGATGTTCATTGACCCGTAATTTGACTGACAATTAACTGTCATTTCTTTTCATCTCTATCATGAAGTTATAGTTATTTTGTAGGAATGTGTTGGTATAAAAAATGCCGAAGTAGGCTCGAGATAAGCTGCAAGGTGTTTGCAAATACAAACAGCAATGTCTTTGCATAATGGACATAGTAGTAACCCATAGTAAATAGTAGCATACATATCATTCATGTCCATAAAACGATAAAGCGAAATCTTTTCTACCATTCTGTCGTGTTCTTGACCACTAAAGCCCTCTAGTTGTTGAGGAATTTTCCTTTATTGTAAAAAACCAGGTCTGCGGCCGACGAAAAATTGCTCGTAATCGGTTGGGTCATCCGCGAGATACGCTAATGTGCCGTTATGGGTTAATGACATGTGAATCAATAAGTAGGGTTGATTTTTCAAGGTTCTACATTCGTTATGTTCGGAAATCGGGTCCCTCTCAAGCAACATATAAGCGGTCAGAAGAGGTTCGTGCTGAGATTCTCAGTCAACAATTTAATCGAATTAGAGAGGAAATTGAAGAAGTGAGGTATGAAACACTTGTGTATATCCAGTATTGTTTCTTTTTTACTCTTTTGAAGCTTATGCGTTTTTACCATCACGTGTTCGATATAGAGGGAATCGTTGCCTCACCAACACCCTTGCGACGAGTGGCGTGAGGTGTCGTAATAAAGTTGTGCGAGTGTTGGCATGATCTACATAGATTTCATCTTTTCCCCTATGTTTTGTTCTAACACGTAGAACTGTTTTGCCAGAAATCACAGTGTTAACTTTTTATTTGCTGCCTACTACAATTTCTACGGCAGGACGTTGACGGTTGATTGCTGATGGTACTGGTACATAGAAAACTAGGTGAGAGACATGCGGAACGGCGGACCAGCATTGTGCGTTGGTGGACACGTTAGTCCCCGGATAGGGTTATAGCGTGAAGTTTTGCAAATATCTCAGCATCGTCAAGGTTGTTTTGCTAGACTTCTTGTGGTCACTCGGTAACTTCTCGAACACAGATCCTACGACTGACATCGTCCGTGGGTGCGTGTCCTCCTAATAGCTCTTCACATAATTCCTAATTTTTCGCCGTGGGACTATTGCTGTTGAGGGCATTGGATAGCATAGAGAGTGTAGCCAGCGAAAAGGTGCCACGCATTCATCGTGGACATGATTTTTGTTAAGTAATTCGTTGTTTTCTAATTTGCAATCGTTATTATGATGACTTTTTGCTACTGTATGGAATGAGAGGATATCAAAGGCACAAGGTAAACATCGTAATATTCCTTGCAAACTCATGCAACTTTGTTAAATTCTGACAGCAGTGCGACTGCATAAAACGCGAGTGTTTTCCTTCATAAGCAAAGGTTCTGTGTTAATCAAAAACATGAGGCGGTGTGCATAGGAACGTAGAGCATCCATATTGTGAGAGAAACTGAGAAGCTCTTTCAAAACGCAGAGAAAAGCCTATTTATAGAACAGGAATAACGATGAAGTGGGAAGGCATTAGCTAAAAACTGCTGGACTAGCCGTTCTGGAATCCACAGGTGTCACATTGAACACGGAAAAATTTGGCCTCGCTCACTCCACGTAAAAGCGGAATCACGCGTCGTCGTGAGAGTGTTGGGGCATTGCTTTAGAAAGTATTGCACTTTTAAGTCTTTACTTATATATTTCCTGATTACCCAGGTGTATATATAACTTCCTTCCGGAACATTTTCTCCTTCGAAGTTATATCAGTGGCGCTTTAGAAAAAATAAAGCTCAAATGACGATTGAACGACAAAACAGACAAAGTAACCCCATCTCCGATCCAAATTCTTCGATGGATGACTCCAGTCTTTGGGTGAAAAAGTATTCTCCGCGATTTTATGCAGATCTACTCAGTGATGACGTAAGACTTTAAGACTTTGTCTACTACACATGTCGTTTTCTTTCTCAGAATCGCGAGGTTGTTACATAGGGCACGTTTACTTCCGTGCAGAAAACACATAGAACACAGCAGTAGCTGACGTTTCGGCAGTATCACCTTCTTCAGGGCCTCGAATGGTAATATTGACAAGCAGTAGCACTTCAATAACACGTATAGAAAGATGAAAATCTAAATGGTAATCACAGCTTCTCGAAAAACCCACCGTTTTTTTTACATTCCTTTCATCGAGGAAGAACAGTTGATTGAAGTTGCGTATGGTTGGTAACTGTACCACCCCATACCAAGAGTTGATTTGAATTTATGGGCTAGTCACGTGTGGTCTCTGGGTATTCCTCCTTCATGTTCATTGCAGGATTTTTGGCATTCATCCAAAAAGCCTCAAGAAGCTTGCACGTTGGTGTTTGGGCGTGCCCTGCCAGGATAGTGACTTATCACTTTTACTGAAGCGTTTGGCGTAGTAAATTGCATATCAACATACCCCTCCAGGCTCTGAAGAAGGCGATATTGCCGAAACATCAGCCGCTGTTGTGTTCCATGTGTTTTTTGTACGGAACTAAATGTGTGCTGTGTAACAACCTCGCGTTTACTGAAAAAGAAGACGACACATTTGTAATCCAGTGCTGTAGTTAATAGATGGTCCATCCAAGGAACTGTTTGTCTACTACTTTTTTTAATCTTTATTCCTCGTTTTTTACTTATCTCTTTATTAATTCTATATATTTATGTTTTACTGCATTGTTACACTACACGTATAATTATATGTTATGTTATATACATTTATATGTTCTATTGGCATACAATGTTCTATTAGGAGGCAGATAGCACAGTGGTAGTGATGCTGATCATCACGAGCACGGTGCTGTTTCGATCAGGCTCCGGACTCAACATGCCTCTGATCCTTCCGAGGTCGGGAAATAGGAACCGGACTTGTCTGGGGAAAAATCACTCTCCTCAGTCCAAGTTGGAACGCTCTATCCCACTACCTCAGAACTCCCGTGAGAATCGACCATTCCAGCATTCTCAAACATTCAAGATGAAACGAAAATTGTCAAGCAGCAGCCGAAGCCACACGTGAAGTAGGAAGATCTTCGTGGACAGTGGATGCGAGGAAACGAATCGAATGTGAGAAGTGCTGGGACCCGCACAGTAAATGTGAAGACGGGTCATATAAAAAAATATGTGCACATATATATTTTGTAGTGCCGTACTATTTATTATGTTGTTTTTATGTTTACTACGTTACTATTATTTTTGTTCTTATTTTCTATTTGTTATTTGCTTATATTTATTTGTTTTTTACCTTATGTTTTGACTCTTTATCTTTATATGCGGCAACCATTGTTTTCTTTTTATTCTAGTGCAATTCCTTCCTTATTTTACCTTTATGCCTTCAGGGAGTAAATCGTCATTTGATGTCATGGATAAAATTATGGGACGAAAGCGTTTTTAAGCGGAAGATTGTAAATATGCCAAAAGTTGAGTCTGTTAAAGAGAAAGATATGCTAACATTAGAAGCAGGAAAGCTGCGTAGGCCGACATATAAGGTACATGGCTTTTTTCAATTGATTAGAGTTGTTTCATCTTCCTCAATGATTTCGTCTTTATTAGGCTACTATGAATGACAAGCATCCTTTTGTACTTAGTTAGCGTTGTTGTCTGGACCAGCTGGCTTGGGCAAGACGATACTGGCAAAGGTTGTCGCGCAACAGGCTGGGTATGCTATTGTTGAACTGAATGCGAGTGACAGCAGAAATGTATCCGACTTTGAAAAAGCGCTTGAGGGATCTGTTCACACCTGTCGGACACTTGACAGGGTACGGTTGTTCCTGTCTACTGTAAGAGTTATTTTCTTCAGATCTACTTATGATAAAATCCTTTCTTTCGCTCTCTCAAGCTTTACTTTTTCTCGTATTGTCAGTTCTATATTTTCCTCCCAGCCACTGATACGTTTAACAGTCCCTACCTAGAAATCCTTTCTCTTTGTAAAGCGTCTATTTCAGCAATCTCGTCCTAACTGCTTGATTTTTGATGAAATCGATGGTGCTCCTGTAGAGTCACTTCGCTATCTTGTCAAAGCAGTGAATTCAACAGGAAAGAGAGCAGTGCGCCGCCCTATCATTTGCATTTGTAATAACTTGTACGTTTGTGTAATCTAACAGTCGAAGTAATACAGATGAGAGCTTGTCATTTAGGTATACGTCTGCTATGCGGGAGCTTCGTGCTGTTGCCTTAAATATTCAGCTTGTTCCCACTTCAGCAGAGCGACTTATCCAGAGGTTGACAGTGGTAAAGTACTTCTGTTATTGTCTTAGTTGACTTGCTATCTCGCCTTCTTCAACTAAGGGTGTTGATGTTCACAGTTAGATTTATTCATTGTTAAAAGTGTTTAAACGTGCTCAATTTGCTAATACGATAGAAGTTTATTTTCTGCATCAAGTAAATTTTCCGGTGTTTCTAGACTTGTAGAGCTCTGAAGATTTTAAAGGCATTTTCAACAGCATTTTCACTGTCAAAGATTGAACAAGTGCTTCTAATCGCAATTTTTCGCTTTTCTTTATTTTGGTTTTTTTTTTTTTGGAAAGTGTTGGTTGTTTCCCATATAGTCGAGCTTTTTAAGAATTGGTTGGCCCAGATTAAGCATAAACTAGCCATAGTGCATCTGCTACACCGAATATCTAACTATTGCCCTTCTTGTGTATCACTCTTATATAAAGGATAAGGCGCTCGACGTTCATCAATCCTTGAAAGGTGCTCCATGCGTTCGACTTCATTAAGCATCGTTGGAGGTGATTGAATGCATATCTGGCCTTCGCAATGATTCGCAGTGGCCTACCGATGTACCGAGGCAGTGCTGCTATCCTCCGAGTCAAGTCAGCTACCAGCACCATGACCACGGAGGGATGGAAGGCTTGGTTGGCCTAATGCGTGGGGATCGCTCCCATGTGTACTGCAGGGAGCCTTCGATCACAGACTGCGCTACACGCATCTTATCACTCTAATATGTTGTACGTATATCCAAACAAAATAGCCAACGAAACATGTTCTATCCTTTTGTATGGTATGGCTAGAATACATGTTACATAAGTAACGCTCAAAAAGAATGAATTCGACTATGAAGAAAAAACCAGTTACATTAACTAAATTCCGGATTAAATGGGTACCACATTTTTTGCGCATTTATACAGATGCAACATTGGAGAATCAAAACCATTCAGCTGCTGAAAATCGTAAAATTCTTCGCTTCCAAAACAGCCTTCAATTTCTATTTATCGTTCTTCGTATTTTTGTTGAGCAAACGCGGGGTGTTATTATTCTTTATTCACGAATAAGCTGACGTTTCGGCGGATTTCACCCTCCTCAGAGCCTGGAAAGGTCAAGTTGATAGCAAACTATTCGGCCAGACACCTCCATAACCAAACAAAGAAACTTTAAACCAAAATTTGAATCACAATGAACACAAATTTGCACACTCAACGCTTTCTATGAGATTTCCACTAAGTATGTCGCGTGTAGACCGACCGCACAGAATGCACATGGAAGCATAATGTGCCCCTCCCATCAGAATAGCAGTCTCATATACTGCCCTATATCACACGTGATAATGAGGCATTCTTCCCTGCAGTTCATTTTCGGATTTCTGGAATTAATCCAGAATGCCTCGAGAGTTTTTCGCGCCTGTGTTCTTGATTCGCGTGCGAGGATTGTGACACATACTTCAAAGTTCTCTCCGTTATATCTTCGGGTCCTATGCGTGCCTAGCGGACTATTTGGTCTATTTTTGCCGGCTAGGTGTTCTTTTATGCGGACACAGAGAGGTCTGCCCGTTTCGCCAATGTATTCGTTACCGCACGTCTTACTGGAGATCAGATAAACTATACCCGAGCTCATGCAATCACCGTCTCTACCACTGGGACAAATTATGCAATTTTGAGTTGCACATAGACGGTCATATAGGCGGTTACGAACTAGCTGGCGCTTAAAATTACTTGGTGGTATTTCAACTACGCTCACCGAATTCTCTAAACCCGCCCTTCTTAAGCAGCGTTTTATAGCTCTACTTAAATCATTTGAAATGAAGGGTAGGATAAACGGGATCCTTCTATCGCTAGAGTTGTTGTTTGGAGCCCTAGGATTTCCCCTATACCTATCCTGAGCTACAGTTTCTTAGCCATTAGAAATGGCTATATGCCGTGCCAAGTTACGGGACTCCTCACTCTGCTCTTTTCCCGCGCACACGTTGGTTGCTGTTCGAAACACGTTTCTTATAAGCGCCCTTTCCGTGTGAGAGGGGTGGGAGAAGAGGTAATGAACCAAGATGTTTTTACTACTTGGCTTTCGGTACCACTTTGTAATGTAGCCATTTTCTGACAGGTGGATTTGTACGTTCAGGAATGGAAGCCATTTTTCTTTCGACTTTTCTCGGGTGAACTTGATATACTCTGACTGCGCATTTAACAACACGAAACGTTTGTCCATTTCATCTTGTGTTGAGCCAAGGACAAAGCAGTCGTCCACATACCTACAGTAGAGTAGCGCCCCGAGATCAGTCACCGGTGCCTCCACTTTAGACATAAATGCAATGGCAAGGCTTGGAGCCAGTCGTTGTCCCATTGCCAACCCTCTTATTTGAGCGTAGTACTTTCCAGACCATCTGAAGATTGAGCAGCTCAAGCATTCTTTTAAGAGTGCCATCAAGTGCTCTATCTTGAAACCACACATGTTTATTTCTCCTTCGTGTTGTGTAAGGAGTTCGAATATGGCTTGCATTGCGGAGTCATTCGACACGTTTGTATAAAGGGCGGTAACGTCGAAGGACTCCATAACGCACGCGCTGTTGTACTGCGCAGTACGTAGACGATCCAGAAACATCTGGGTATTCGTAAGATGGGCTGGAATGTGTTTCGACAACTGGTTAAATATCAGGGTTAAAAACCATGTTATCCTGTCCGTTGGCTCGTCTACGTAGCTAATGATAGGTCTAACCTTAAATAGTGATGGATCGGTAGACGCAAGATCATCGCTGGATACTAACTTATGAGTTTTTATAAGTAAGTAGAAGACGGGGCATGTTGGTAAGGCAACTTTAAGTTGAGAGATAACTGATGGTTTTATACCAGCAGCCCTTGCCATTTTGGCCCATTTGTGGTTCAGTTTTCGGTATTTNAAAACCATGTTATCCTGTCCGTTGGCTCGTCTACGTAGCTAATGATAGGTCTAACCTTAAATAGTGATGGATCGGTAGACGCAAGATCATCGCTGGATACTAACTTATGAGTTTTTATAAGTAAGTAGAAGACGGGGCATGTTGGTAAGGCAACTTTAAGTTGAGAGATAACTGATGGTTTTATACCAGCAGCCCTTGCCATTTTGGCCCATTTGTGGTTCAGTTTTCGGTATTTACTTTTGAATTCCTCAGATGATGGACGATAAAGCGAAGCATCTTCAAGATGCTTTTTCGTTATCTCCACATCTAACTGATGAGGATTTACGACAAACTGTCCACCCTTATCACTAACGGAAAGTCTTATGGTTTTCAACCTTATCAGCTCTCGTACCTCTCGCATACCACGTTTTTGCACTGGAGTGAGGTTTGAGCTGTATCTTTTCGCGCGATAGTGATTAAGGACTTTGAGAGTTTCATTCGCAAACATCCGAAAATTAACATCACCTTCATTATTGGGCTCTTGTTGTCTAAAGAACGTCGGGGGAAATGGTGCTGTTCGCATCCATTTAGCGCTTCATCTCTAGCTTTTTTGCGGAGTCTATCTTGAAGTTCATGTAAACCACGTGCAACCCTACGCAAGGTTATCGTAGAAATGGGTTCAGATGGTGAGAAACTCGGCAGAAACTTCATCGTGTTGGGGGGAGGGGGTGAAATTCGGAGATTCTGACAATTCTTATTCTATTCGCTGAAGTTGTGTCTAGTGGAATTACTAATGAATGGCAATATATTTAAGTTAATTCACAAAATCGGCTATTTGTTTTGACTCATCTTAATGATGCGACAGCTTCAAGTAGATGTGGGCCATATATGGTTTACAATGCTTACACTGTGGTTGGTACGTCAAGAACTTTTTGAATATTTATGGATATGCAATTATAGATTTCCAACGCTGAAAATGTTCGAATCAATCGTTTCACTCTCCAGCGCCTTGTGGAGCTGTGCCATTGTGATGTTCGACTTGCTATTAACACTTTACAACTTGTATCGACACTTGCCAAGAAGGAATGTCGCTACGCATCACTTGATGATATACAGAAAGTGCAGAGCTCTTTTTTTAAATGTAAGTTAATGTTGCTGTCAATTTGTTTTTAAGGTTATTGAACGAGAAGAAATCGGGTCGTTTTCGGTTTTCGAGGGTTTGTCAACAGTATTGGATTTCACGCATCATTTCGACAAGTAGGTTTATTTCCGTTTGTCAGATTTTTCCCAAGTTTTAGAATAGCGCAAGTGATACTATAGGTGTGCCTACTACAGTAATTAAAACTACATGCAACATTTTCTGTGAAAGTAAGACAAAGTGGACCAGGTAGAAACGCCGTGTAAGGATTATTTAGTCAGTTTCATATAAAGATGGTCCGTCGCTACTTGTCATTCAGGTCGGATAACTTTATCAGTCGTTTATTTCCTTTGTAATCTCATCTACAAACACGGACGGATAGTGAATGGGTTGGGTTGCGGGTCTGGAAGTTAACTCTAGCTGTGAGGACAACGGGTCTTGAACATCAATCTCCTTGAAAGTGCGCCTAGGTTTCATTTTGATTCTTGTGATATACTGTGCACTATTTTTCTGATAAACCTTCAAACTCCCTTTGTCACTCGATTGGCCGGTGTTTGTTTTTCCATTCACATTTCACCGTAACTAGAGAAAGGATGTTTTCCAGGATACATGTGTAGAGAGCCTTGGTTCGAGTACCGTGTTTTGCTCTCAACTTGTTTTTTTTTAACGTAGATGAGCACAGGGTAAGTGCACAACGCAACCGGCACATTTCCATGAAATCTTCTCACCGTAGGTGACATTGGTTCCATCGTCAATTTACGATATTAAAGCCTTGTTATTCTCAGTTCCTTGGAGGGTGCTCACGTCGCACTTGATGTGGTCTGAAGGGAAGGAGAAGAACATGATGGTTATGGTCTCGTTGGAAACAACTCCCATGTCATGCCCTGTGTACATTATTGCCGACCTGATTCACTGACTCCTCTTATTTAACCCATAACATATAATTCTGGTTTTTGATAACTGCCTCGGTAACTAATTGAGAAGTTGAGAACTTGGTAATGTTATAGAAAAAATATTTGCCGTATCTCTCTAAAAGTTGAAATTAAAATTGAGTAATCGAAATCGGATATCATATTTTCAAAATCGTCAACGCAAGCATAACATCCGCGTTGAGGACGGTATCTTGCCTTTCTACCAAATTTACCAAACTGTCCCAATTTTTTAACCATTTGGTATTCGAAATCCGAGCTAAAACGAAAATTATTGGAAAGAATGTGTCCCGTTAATCAGGTTATCAGTTGGCTAAAATTTATATTTTGTCTACAAAGAATTTAAGATTGAAAGTTTAAGAATTTTATGTTTTCTAAAGTCTTTGAAAACGTCTTTTAACATTACAACCTCACGTTGGCTAACCAATAGAACAAAAGTGTTATCTGGTTTTGTGTCATTTAATGAAGCTAACTATGAGCTGAGATATAATTATCTTTAATGTTTTAACTTTTGTTTTCTCCCTGTTATTTTTTCATGGCATCTACGTTGTGAACTACACCAATAGGAATGTTGATATATTATCCCTACTTGTAGTTCACGTGCTATCCACCTCACCCATTGATGTCCTTGCTTTTACCTTTCTCAGATACCCTACCCTGTAGTTCCTTTTTTTCTACCTTTCTGCCCTTTTTCCTTCTTTTCCTTCCTTTCTCTTTTTGCCCTTTTTTACCTTTTTTCTCAGATATGTTTTCTTCTTTTCTACATATGTTTAATTACCTATAATTGAATGGTGCAATTTCGCCCTTGTGTAATTCCTTACAGTGTCTATCGTTCGTTTTGCCCTAAACATAACGCGCTTTAGGAAAATAAAGAGGTCTTTGTTATAAAATTACTGAAAAGGGCGACGGTAGTGCAGTGGTTGTGGCTCGGTCAAATAAGAACTATGTGTTGGTTCGAGCCCATCATAACTCAGCCAGGATCGGCTTTCGGATAGGTAGAATCAACTCGACTGCTATACAACCACATTCATAAAATGATTAGAAATCCTCACCAGTTAATCCGTACTCATGCACTAGTTCGAAGACTTCGCGGATGGTGATGCGAGGAAATGAATCGAATGCAAGTGCAGGGATCCGTATACTATATGCGAAGATGGTTTAGAGTTAAACGAAAGTGTAGGATTCTCCTTCTGAAAATGATTTTCCAGGCAGGGCATTTTGATGTCATTGCCAGAAAGGCTGCGAATAGTTGAACGTGTTGCCTTAGAACGAGGTGATGACCGTTTTGTGTCCGGTTTATACGAGAGCTACATAAGCATAAATCTGCCACTGAAGTCGATTCGCTCAGGAGTTGAGGCTTTCGTGTTTTATGATCGCGTTATGCTGGCGGTATGTAAGTCTGTTTTCATCATGTTTTTCAAAATTTGGTCTTAGTGAGTTGGAATGTTTTCTTGACCATGTGTAAACCACGCCGTTTTTAAGATAAACGAGAGACAGAATTATGTTCTGATGAAGTATATCAACGTATTCTACATGCTTCTTCACGCGGCTGTAGCTTGTCATACTAGGTTGATGAAGCAATTGAAATCTTATTTTCTATACTTTTTCTCAGGACAATTTGTAGTATCAGAACATTATTTTCGTCTTACGATGAGATATTTTTAGGGCAAAGCTGAAGCTTCCTTACCTAGAGCAAACTGCAGTGCAAAGACGTCGTGAGTCTCAAGAAACTCTGGCAACTATCCAGTGTGGTCTTTTGGGCAGGCATTCTCCCACTGCACTTATATCTGACGTGCTTCCTTTACTGGTCCAGATTGTTCAACCATCTATTAAAACGGCAAGTTTTTTTTAATTGGTGAATTTCACAAACTAACTTGGACTACCTCGTCATCATGGCTGAGAGGTGTTCCTGGGTGTCGGGATTCACAGCGGGGGGATTCATTCTCCCTGCAGAGTCTTCCAACCTGATAGGAAGTCCGGCTTTTACATCAAAAAGCCTGGGTAAATGTAAACCGATACCTGGATCGACCACCGTCCTGGTACCAAACTAATAGGATGGTGGCAAATCTCCCTGTGATCCACAGGCTCTGCGACTGTCTGTGGTGGTGACGACCTGAGCCAGATTTTAACTAAACTGACGTCACGACTTTGGAGAAACACGGAAACACAATGGCTAAGCCAGAAAAACTCTGAAAAATGGAAGTTATGCTGGGGCCCGCGCAAGCAGTGAGGACGGGTCGTCCAAATATCCATGTATGTAACTTGCATTATTTAGGGGTTGATATTGAGCAGTGGAAATTATTCTACTTTTAGCATATCTGTAGGGATTTCGGTAAAGCTCGCAATATGCCGAAAATTAGCGTAATTAATGTGTTAGGACGGAAGAAGTAGTTCGTTGACTTCTGGTTTGACTTTCAGCGCTTATTGAGCAGATATTTGATTGTTCTCGATCTCTTCGACATATAACACGCATAATAAGTCGTATATAACCCATTTTATTCCCATCTCTTCATTTTGTGACACAGTTTTGTCTGCTGTGTTCGTTGCTTGAAGTCGGTAGCTTTCTTGACGCGCATGCTGAACAGATCATCGTCTGAGAGAAGGCCTCTGCACTTCGTGGTATGGAAAAATTTCCGTTTTTCGTAGCAGTTGTTCATCTCGTCGCAGAAATTTTTTCTGCCGAGGAAGATACAGAGATAGTGAGAATATATTAACAGCTGATGAGGGTGGCTAAGCTTATCTAAGCGTCACGCGGCGATTGTCTGCTATTCGGTAAAGTGAGGACTGTTGCTGATAAGAAGCTTATGGCAACGAGGTTTTTCCCACTGGTTGGGGCCCTGAAATCCTACATTGATCCGAAATGACTCATCGCGTGTTGGACAAAAATTTGATGTTGGGAATTATATATTAGCTGATTGGGCTTCAATATGTCTACGTTTACTACTCTCGATTAAAATGGATTTTGGAGTTACTTACTTTTACTTTTTGTTGTGAAATATATCTTTTAATTTTTTTAAGGAAGTGCTCCAATACGTGTTTATGAAATCAGGTGAAGAATCCTGTCCAGATATCCAGTAGTAACGCATAGGAAGAGATTAACATAATTTCAGGAGCGTGCGATACATCTCAATATTTACGGGGCTGTATATGTTAATGCTTGGTTAAAAATTATTACTTCAGATGAATGACCAGCTGTACAGCTCAAGAGATTTGGACCAGATTGAGAATATCATGAGTATAATGTTGGATTATCATCTGACTTTTGCACTTACAGTTGTCAATTCCCATCCTCAATATTTGTTCCAGCCGTAAGTTACGCTTTTTTGTGCTGTTTTCAGTCTTTAAGTAGTTTTTAAACAATGTCTCCAGTAATTGAACGTTAATAGGAAATCCAACCACTTTTTTGCGCTGTAGAGTTACACTAATGGTACGGTTTATAACATAATATAATAATGTTAACTTTCTATTTGCTCCATGCTACAATTTTTCCACGGCAGGGTACTATGTGATATACAATCGTAATGATGCTGAGATATTCAATAGAATATAATGAACCAATCCCATTGACGACTGACTGCTGGCTGACAGCTCTGGTAGATGGAAAACTACTGTGAGACAGACGGAACGAAGGGCGCTCATGGTGTAGTGGTGAACGCGTTAACACTCGGAAAAGGTAATAGCGCGTCCGTTTCCCACCGCAGACACCTGCTATCCGGAGTTTTGCAAATATCTCATCATCATATCAGTTGTGTTTCGGTATCATTTTAATATAATAGTTTGTTCTACACAAATTTCCCTGTCAACTATGACTTGAAGCGTGGTTTTTGGTGACGTAATTATTTTATTCTTGGCCAGGATTATGGTAAATTTTTGAGATGGCGGGTAGCATTGATTTCACATAGAAAGTGGAAACTTTCAAGGTTTAGGATTGTAAAGAGAAAGTTGTTCGTACAAAGTTTAGGTTGCAGTATTTTTAGGTCTTAAAACAAATTTTTTTGAGCAGAATAGCGGACTTCCATGCCAGATAACAATAACCTCTGCGGGAGTGGGAGAAGATTTTACTATAGATTTCACTTTTAGCGCTCTCCCCTTGATTGCCAGCAACAATGTTGTCGCGCAACGAGCAAATCTTTCTGAGAAAAAGAGCGGTTTTTAGACTGTAAAAGATGAAAAATAGCTTGTTTGGACCACATCCTGAGCAAAATGTGTGATCGGGAAATTATCACTCCTGAAAGGGTATATTGATACCCACCACTTCCCTCGTTTCAACTACATATGAGTTGGAATCAATTCACAAATATCGTTATGTCTTAAATATTTTAGGTCTGTTGACATTTTGACGATGTTTGCTATATCTGACGAAAGTTCGAGGAATTTGCTATCGAATTCAATGCGCCAAATGATTGCGCATAAGGTTGGAAACATTCGTTGATTTATATTTGTTCTTTATTTATGATTTTACAGATGAAAATATTTCACGCAGCTGGCCAGACACCAGATGAAAATGCAGGTCCAAGGGCAACTACATCACAAATCAAGAAAATTTTGAGCAACTCTCGAGTTTCGAAAGCTGTTGCGATGGGTGGCGTTCGTCCACTATTGTACAAATACAACACAGGATGCAGTACAGCAGTAAGGCGGACAATACGAATGCATCAGTTATTAAATTGAATCTTTCTCTATTTTCTCTATTTTAACCGATAAAATATTTGCTTTTTGGGGTAAAAACATGGCTGAGAAAAGGACAAAGTCAAGACCTGGGGGGTAATCGCGGGTTTGAAGCCTAACTGAAGTTCTGAGTTTTCCTCATAGCTCAGCTTTCTTTTAGTTAATGGTTGTAGTGCTTTCGTTTTATTTAGTTATCTGGTTTTTAGAAAAGGCCTTCCCTGGCCGTTTTGAACATCCATGTAAGAGATAACGTTTTCCGCGAGATGTTAATCTTATATATCGCTGGCATCAATTGTGATCTCCTTAACACATCATTCTCCTTTAAGTATGTGGGTCAGCTTTGATGCATGTGGTGTGAAGAAAATTTTGTCGCTTGCAGTTATAAACCAACATATCTAAGATCGTAGCGCGCATTATTGTCTTAAATATAAACAGTCAGGTTCTATAGTTCATTACCAACAAGATTCAAGTTATTTTATCCTATGACGATAAAATCACTAGTTTCTGGAGCCAGTGGGTTTCGTGCTCTTGTTATATTCGACATTTCAATACTCTGTACATAAATTGGTTGATAGGAAGGAGTAGTGGGTGGCTTTTTTTATCGTTTTGAAATTTGTAAGAAAATTACATAATAAATATAATAAATAAGTGCCATCGTTGTTGTATGATACTTTAATTCTTATCTATTGCTCAATTTTTACAACACATTCTTTTCTTGAACTCAGTCTAGATTACCGGTATAAGTGGAGCTCACAAATCATAAAAATCGCATCGATGTGTTTCCTGATTTCCAACCTAGACACGAAGCAACATTATCAACTCAAAATTTCATAATTCGTATGAACTTGTCCAGTATATCCCTAAAAATGGACAGTGTAGAGATGATTCTTGGACAAGGACCATTGCGCGTATGAACAGTTCCCGACCATGATCTAAAGCTGATGTTCAAAATTACTCCTCTAAAAAGTAATTAAAGGGCTGTATAAAGCTAATATCTACAATTCAACAATTACTCGTGGTTTGGAAGGCTGAAAACGCTTGGTAATCGAATTCTGTTTGACTGAGAGTAACGATATCGCCGTTAAGAGGTCTGCTCATTACTACTAGTACGCAAAAGAAACGACAAAATTCACGATCGCATTTGGAAGTGTACCAAAAAATAGGTTTTTTACGACAATGTACGACGTTCAGTTCGGTTATTGTTTGAAATTCTGCAAAAACTGCAGTGTGTGTAACAACGGTCAACAGCTCAGAAGATCTACAGCAACCAAGCTGGTGCTATCTGTGCACTTGTAGAGTTCGCCGCGTTTCAGAATTTTAAGCTACTGAAGTAAAATGGTTTATATCTTGCTGGCAAGAACTTGCGGACTTGAATAGTTCATATTCGACTAGTAAATTTTAGAGCTAAGTTCTAACATTCCGTAGTTGGTATTCAAAATCAGTCATTATTCTTCTACAAGCCATATTCGAAATCACGAGCCACATATCGACATCGTTGAAGGATCTCCAGCCGGTTAGTTGCGACGTCACGTGGTCACCAGTTGGCGAATAGTGAATATCTTGTGTACTCATCGAGGAACTGACAGACTTCACTTGACTTTATCCGACACCCCTTGAAGTGCTGGACGAGCAACCCTTGGGTCCATTGGGTGCCAATCACCAAACAATGGAACAAATGGGTCTCATTCGTACGACTCCGAAAGAGCGCACGCTATTGCAGCGGTGGATGCGAACAGGATGTGGAGAGCGCTAATGTCTCATCGTCATTTTAGACTTCCTCAATCTGGAATGGCCAAAGCGACGACATGTCCCACTCTGAGTACTATCTGAATACTACAATGAGGAGCGGTTGATGTAAGATAGGAAGATTAGGTACGACGTCGTCGAAGTTAGAGATGAGAAGACGCGTATTCAACACCATCTTTAATGCTAGAGGAGAATTGTTTCTCGGAATATGCAACAATAGAGTCTTCGTCAACAAGGCTTTTCAAGGCTTCAACAAAGTCGACTTCTTTGAGTACCTGGAAAATCGAATTGGATGCTTAGCGTTGAAAAGATATGGGCCAATAATAGCTTTGAGAATCTCGTCCGCGCAACCAAATTAGGCTATGACGACGCTGACGTTGAAGCGTTCTACATGGACTTGCAGTCTACAGAGACGGAGATCGCATATTTTATGAGGTAATCTTTAGCGACACCGACATCGCAACATCGGAGCGTCGGAACAATTTCACATTAGGAACTATGAATTGGAATGGAGCGAACTGGGTGAGCGACTGTTTGGGTTTGTTATGGCAACCATGAGCGTCCATGGTAACTCACAATTCCAGAAGCTACACACTCAACGTTGGCCGTAGCAACCCCCAATGGAGAGCGTCATAACAATCATTCGTAGCGTCACCAAAATAATATCTAATTAGAAGACTAAGATAATCACTTTTCGATGCGTAGGCGGAACAGTTATGGGTTCTCAGAAAGGCAAAGGAAAGAATCATCCACGCCTACTACTCTGACCTCTTTAGCCGTTACTTTCTCCTGTCTTGGTATATAATTAAGGACGATGGACTTGTCGTGCCTCTGGTTCTTTTTCACG